GGTGTAAGTGAAGAAGTCTCTGAAACACACTGCTATCAAACTTGAACTACAGTCATTTTTATGTAGCGTTTTCGAACACCAGGACCAGGTAGTACTGCAAGCTGTGTGGAGTGCGTCCCAGAGTTTGATACAGTTTGGGGAATTTGGGCAGCCAAATTCAGGTGGTTGATTGTGCATATTCCCAAAAAGCCAGAAAATATCAAAGTTAGCCAAATATTTACTGAACTTAGCTGAAATTATTAGGCTAAATGAATGTAGTCCAGCATTTCATAATAGGAGTGGGTAAGAAGGTTAGGGATACTACTGGCACTTTGAATTGGCCAGTCTTCATCATGTGGCATTGTGAGAGTATTGGAACTGATTAGCTTCCCCCAGCTACTACATCTCAGTGACAAGTCAGGAGAGCCTTATTCTTCCAAACCATCTCTAAGGGGATGCAGGTGTGGGAAGGGAGGGAGACTAAAAACAGTATGCATTTTACAGTATTACTGAGCAGTAGTTCTCTTTTCTCCCTCTCCCTTTCTCCCTCTGTCCCTCTGTCCCTCTCTTCCTTTCTCCCTCTCCCTCTCTCTTCTCTCCCTCTCTCCTTCTTTCCCTCTGTCCCTCTATCCCTCTCTCCCTCTCTCCCTCTTTCCCTCTTTCCCTATCCCTTTCCTTGTCCCCCTTTCCTCTTCTCCCTCTCCCTCCCCTTCACACTCCCTTCTCCTCTTTCTCCCTCTCCCTCCCTTTCACCCTCCCCCTTCCCCTCCCTGTCCCATAAAGAGTGAAATTACCAATATCCAGTTAAATATGAAGGTGCATTTTTAAACAGTTCATAATATTCTTTCATTTGTGTTAACTTTACATGAATTACCTCCCATTATCTGTTTCCTTTATAAATCTCCAACTTTCTTTTTACTTGCATTTTTGAGGTTTGTTGACTATGCCGTTTGTGGTCATCTAGAGCAGTCTACTCCCTGATTGGACGGCTGTGATTGGTTGATGTGTGCCTTGTTTATTTTCACTACTAAATAGTATCCCATTGAATGAATATTTCAGCGTCTTTATATTATTCTGTTAACAAAGGTTTGGGTTGTTTATTTTCACTACTATATAGTATTACGCCTTATTTATTTTCACTACTATATAGTATTCCATTGAATGAATATTTCACAGTGTGTTTATATTATTCTATTAACAAAGATTTGGGTTGTTTCCAGTTGTTGACTATTAAACAGTTTTGAAATGTAAACCTATATATAGCTCATTTTGCCCACATATAATAATTTTCTCTAGGGTATGTAACTAGGAATAAATTGCAGTTTAGTAGGGTACATGAATTACCAGTTTTATTAGCTGCAATGAATTTACTCTGCAAAGTGATTGTGCTGATTTATATCCTTACTAACTAGGTATGAGAGTTTCTGTTGTTCTACATCCTCAATAAAACTGGATATTGTCCCAGCTGTTGCTTGTTTACTGATTAATTTAAAGGCAGCAGCGTGCTTAGCAACCATCTCAAACATAGGATCAAATGCAAACTTGATTTTTTTATACCAGACTTCCCCCCTTTCAAGAAATTGTTTTACTTTCTCAGTTACAAATCCAACATAATGTAGCATTGCTTGTTTGCTCATTTTTTAAAATCAGAAAATGAATATATTTCTTAAAGCATTTGCATAAAAGAATTATAGTCATTAAAAATTCTAGCACACAGACATAGCAGTTAACATTTTGCTGCATATTTCCTTCTAGTTCGTGTATGTATTAGGCATTCATTTACTTTACAATTAAAATCATACTGAATTTGCTTTTTATGTTACAATTTCACTTAACATTATATTAGTACATTTCTCATATTAGATATTATTTAAAAATACTACTTTGATAGCTGTATAACATTTGTCTAAATGTGCTTAATCATTCATTCTCTTACTGGAGGATTTTGGAGGAAATAATACTTAAGTTAAAAAAAAATGCTTGGTAGAAGCTGGGTGTGATGGCGCACACTTGTCTGGGAGGCTGCAGCATGAGGATCATAAGTTTCAACCCAGCCTGGGCAATTTAGTAAGATGAGACCCTGTCTCAAACAGACCTTATGAGTATGGTCTCTAGTTGTGACCATTCACCTATAAAAGCCTTGAGTTTATCTTTCTTTATAGCTGAGTAATATTCCATTATATAAAAGTACCACAATTTTCTTATCCAGTCCTCGGTGGATGGACATTTGGGTTGCTTCCACAATTTAGCAATTACAAATTGTGCTGCTATGAACATGGGTGCATGTACATCACTGTGATATGAACATGCAGATAGATCTTCTGGGAAAATACCCAGAAGGGGAATAGCTGGGTTGAATGGGACCTCTAGTCCTAGTTTGCTGAGGAATCTCCAAACTGATTTCCACAGTGGTTTCACCAGTCTGCATTCCCACCAGCAGTGGAGAAGAGTTCCTATTTCTCCACAGCCTCGCCAGCATTTGTTATTGGTTGATTTCTTAATGCTAGCCATTCTTACTGGGGTAAGGTGGAATCTCAGTGTTGTTTTAATTTGCATTTCTCGAATGACTAATGATGTTCAACATTTTCTCATGTATTTATTTGCCATTTGTATTTCATGATCTGAGAAATGTGTGTTCATCTCAGCTGCCCATTTTTGGATTGGGTATTTGAATTTGGAGGGGGCTGATATTTTTAAATTCTTTATATGTTCTAGATAGAAGCCCTTTGTCTGAGGGACAGTCAGCTAAAATTTTTTCCCAGTTTGTGGGTTTTCTTTTTGAAGACATACCCCTATGTCTTCAAGATTTTACCTACTTTCTCTTCCAATAGCTTTAGTGTAAATCAGACCTGCATGTGCAAGCACCGCATTGTCTCACTAGTGTAAAACCTGAAAGAGTTAATAAAAACTCAGAGGGATGATAGACATTGTGAAATGATAGGAAAACACTCAAGGGTAAAGGGCAACTGGGATATGGGAAAAGAGAAGGGAAAGAAGGAGAAATTTTGTATGTATGTATATACAGGATAGTTAACATAGTTGTTCTACTGTCTTCTATTTCTTTGCTGAAAGAAACTGTTAATGAGTCCTTGATTGATCAGTATTGCATGTCTCTGTTTTCATGAGAAATCACTTTGAAGATATCAATATGTAATACAACAAGCATTATTAATTTCCTACCACTTTGTTTGTAACTCTGTATTGTTTGTACTGTTCTTTTGCTATTTTGTAAAAGGTTGTCTGTTAATGTTTTCCTCCTTTTATTTTTAAAATTAAAAAATCAAACAAATACATGCATACATGCACCCATCTTGGTATATAAATCTTCATTAAATTTGTGTCTTTGGAATAGATTTCTAGAAGTCAATGAATGTTTATGGATTTAGATTGAATAGGTGATGAGCAGAACAACCATGGAGCTAAAAATAAGCAACAGGACATTCTTCAGAATCCAATAATCCATTAATTCTATTTGTCTCATATGTGAATTGAGTGGCAAATTTGTCTTTTCCGAGAGTTGATTGGGTATTGCAGTGTTAGGACTTAAGAACCTTAGCATTGGAAGGGACTTTTTAGAAGGTTAGATCATCCAGTGTTTTACTTTTTGCAGGTTTCCTGACTTGAGTGTCTTTCACAGACTGTCTCATTGCAATAGATCTCTAATATTGGCATCTCTTGTACCTAATCCCTAGCACAGTGATGGTGAACCTTTTAGAGACCTCGTGTCCAAACTGTAACCCAAAACCCACTTATTTATTGCAAAGTGCCAACACTGCAATTAAACCTGAATGCTGAGGTTTTAATTTAGAGAAAAACAACTCATACATTAAAAGAAAGACGCTAACAGAGCTTTCAGTGGTACAGCCAGCTGCGGCACGCGTGCACAGGTTTGCCACCACTATGCCGTTTGTGGTCATCTAGAGCAGTCTACTCCCTGATTGGACGGCTGTGATTGGTTAAATTTTTTTCTTTCACAGAGATCAAAAATGTTTTCTGTAACCTCCACTTAACCTTTAATTTGTTTTATAATGGAAGCATTACTAGAGCTGGGACATAGATCAGTCATAGTGTGTTAGTCTCTAGGTGTCAGTTCCTAGGTATGCCCCCTCCCAAAGCTCTCTAAAGTAATTCTGGAAATGTTTCACTTTATTTTTTTCCTCTTAGTTTCTACTACAGTTAAGATGAAAACGGATGTGTTTGACTTTTAAAGTCTTGGTTGTCTTCTAATGTATAATTTAACTTTATCCTGTCTTTTTAGTGAATTTTGGCAGGACAGAAAGGCTTCCCAGTATTTTTATACTTGGTGGATAGGAAAATTCTGAAGTGATTAGGTTCTGTGCGGTTCCTTAGAAGTTGTGGTAATAGGTGGTTTGTGCACATAGTCTTCTTTTCCATTAATACTAACAACGATCTTTGTTTTCTTTCTTTTTTTTTTTTTTTTGATTAAAGATGTTAATTTATTGTCACATTCAGTACTTGTAAACTCTTAGGTAGATGTTTTCCTCATTTGCAAGATGAGGGTACTGAGACTAAAAGGTAGTTGAAGACCTTTTGTGTCACTCAGCTATTAAAGATAAGGTGGAATTTAAAGTTAGGTTTAATTCTAAAACCTGTTTAACCAGTTTTCAAATCTCTTTCCCTAACTTGAATTATATTAACTTCATCATAAAATTAAATATTTCTGTGCAAAATATATCCATGGTTTTCGATGACTCACATTGGTAGTGTGGAAGTCATTGCAGCATTGGAGGTATCGCTTCAGACAAGTATCGCTTCTGCTTGCTTGTCTTTGGTAATACCAGCTGCTTTCCTCTTGGTTTGGGCTCCTCAAGGGTTCCTTCCTGTAATGGCCCATCTCTTCCTAGTCTCACACGGGGCACCTTCCTGCTTCTGGGGAAACTGAAGCACAGAATTAGAATAGGGTAACAAATAATTACATAGTTTTTCCTTGAATATTCTCAACCAGCATATTCCATAAAGAGACATGTTTTCACAGCTGTGTGCTTTAGGTAGTGGGAAAAGTTTGAACTTTTATAACTTCGGTGTCTTCTACTGTGTGTCAGAGGCAGTGACACACATGCTTAGTGGACTCAATGTGAAAACCTCTTAGCTTAGCCTTGGGATAGAAATCTTGATGTTTATGGTCACGTAGGGATTCAAATACGTTATCACGGTGAACTTGAGACCAGGGATCAGAGAACCAACTCATGGAGCTGCTGTGTAATGGTTTAATTACCCTAGATCGATCAAACGTGGACTGAGTGATGATGGGATGTTTTTACGTTACTGCTAGGAGAAAGGAACAAAGTCCCAGGCTTGGTTTGTTGACCTTTGGTATTGCTTTTATCTTGTGGCTCCATATAACTGCCTTTGCTGAATCTTCAAAAGGCTGCCGTCAAGTGATTGTATAGATAAGGGCTCATTCAGTACTTCTACAAGGAGAGCCCATATCTTCAAATGTGGGTGACGTAAGTTTACTTCAGAGACAGGAATGAGTTCGGTTCTGTGGAGAGATATGAAGAGAATGTGTAACTCTCCTTAAAAGAAAAATAAATTTAAATTAAGAATTTTGTAAGGGGGAAAGTAGAATGGAGTAACTGGGCATTTGACTCTTAGAAGTTATTAAAGATCTTTCAGCTGAGGCCCAAGGGAGCACTGTCTTAGTCTTTTTGTTCAGCGGCAACAAAATGCCTGAGAATGTGTAAGTTATAAAGAGCAGACGTTTATTTCTTGTCATTTTGGAGCCTGGGAAGTCCAAGATCAAGAGACAAATTTGTCATCTGGAGAGGGTCCAGTCTCTGCTTTCAAGATAGTGTCTTCATAGGGGAGTAATACTTTGTCTTCCACATGGCAGGAGGGCAAAAAAGGGAATGCCCTCCTTCATGTCCTTTTATAAGGGCACCTAACCCCATTTGTGGGAAGAGAAGTATTCACGGCTATGTGAATTTTGGAGGAGTCATATTCAAACAATAGCAAGTAGCAGTTGTGTGTTAGCAGAACTCATCCAAATGTCGGCATTCCTCATTATAATAAGAACAATATAATAAGAACATTATAAGAAGGAAATAACAGGCCCATATAGAGACCTCTTTGTGTAAGTCGAGATAAGGGCTTTCTCACAAGGACCTTGACAGGTAGCTGGGGAGAGCAGGAATCTTAGGGCTAATCCTCAACGTGCATTCTGTGGTAAAGGCCCAAAGTGAACCAGTAACCAAGTGCGTTCTCGAGGTACAGCCCACAGGGAAGGACTTGGTCTCAAATGAACTATATTGCTACTGAAAACATGTTGGTCCCAAAGTATTAGCAAATCTCAGTAAGCAAAACTGCCTAAGCATAAGTTAGGAGGAAAGTAGTATTTTTAATAAGTTCTGCAAGTAAGTCGTCGAATCATGGGCATTACAATTTCAAGAACTGGCGACACCTTAGAGCTCTCATGGTTTGGCTACTTTATCTCCTTTGAACTGCAGTTTCTGCCATCAGAAACCATTAATGTACAGCATTTTTTCTTTCCATTAATTCCAGCACTTATTTCCATCACTGTGGTTTTTTAAAGTCGTGACTGTAATTACAATGACTTACTCAGTATAGGGGATAATCTGCCTCCCAAGATCACATTGACATTTAAACAAGATATTGTTTTTCTGATTCATGAAATGAAAAGAAAGTACTTTTTTTTTTCTTTTTTGGTTTTTCTCCGGTACCGGGAACCGAACTCACAACCTTGTGCTTGCCAGGCAGGCACTTTGCCGCTGAGCTAAATCCCCAGCCGCGAAAGTACTTTATATAGTGCCTAACATATAGTGAAATTTTAGTAAGTTATAGTAACATGGATTTTTGTTTACAGGGAACCACAATGTATAAATTAATCCTTATTTAATCTTTCAGCTACCTTTAAGGTTTATAGTATAATCCCTTTTACTGATATGGAAGTCAAAGTTAAGTCTGACTGTCAGATTTTCTGGCTGATTTAAGCAGATAAAGAATTCAGTAAAGGGTAGTGGGTAGCCTTCAGAATCCCCAGAGAGCTCTGGAATCATACTGTGGGCTATGTGGTCAAGTATAATGATGGAAATCCTAGCTGGGCATTGGTAGCACATGCCTGTAATCCCAGCACTCTGAAGAGGCTCAAGCAGGAGGATCTCAGGTTTGAGTTTAGCCTTGGCAGTTTAGCAGTTTAGATCCTGTGTCAAAATTAAAAAAAAAAAAAAAAAAAATTAAAGGCTGAACGGTAGCTTAGTGTAAAGGCCCCGGGTTCACTTCTCACGGGGGGAGGGGGCGGGAGTCCACAGAACTGAGCCTGCGCCACCACTTTGCCCCAGTCAGCCCTGGCTGGCATTAGACTGGACTTTGCCACAAGTTTGCTTCTGCTGCTGCCTCAGCAGCACTTCCCTGGAAGTTGCTGTTACAGGGAATGCACCTGGTAGAAGCCCCTATTTTGCTACATTTGCTCCCAGTTTTGAGTGTAGGGTGGGTATGCAGATGAGCAGAACTTCTGTTGGCAAGGCAGGTGGGTAAAAAAGACTCTTGTTCTTCAGCTTCTTGGAATAATAGGCCAGGAGGCTTGCATATGTGACAGGTTTTTTTTTTTTGGTTTTTTTTCTCTGGTACTGGGAACCGAACTCATGACCTTGCGCTTTGCCAGGCAGGCTATGTGACAGTTTTGTTGCCAGCTCCTTGGGTCTTAACTCTCTAAGGAAGGAATACTTTGTTCGTATTTCCTTTTAATTGGGCATAACCGGAGTAGATAGAAATTGAGATTGTTTCCTTACTAGGAGACTTCATATGTGGAAAAATTAGGGGTTTTTTTTGTTTTGTTTTGTTTTTTTCTGAAACCAATTTTGTTCTCAGAAATTACAATATCTGTTATAAGTTAACAGTGTTACCTTGGCATTTGAAGCCACTAATAAGTAAGAACTTGCTTTCCTCAGTGTAAACAATCCTGTTTCCCATTAATCACTGGAGGACAGAGTATGTGATTCTTCCAGGAATCCATGAGTTAACACCTGCAAGAAGGATAACTCCTTTGAGCAAGAAAAGTTCTGGCATGAGTATCTCGGCCTCCTCCTCCGTCCTTTGCTAGTACTCCTTTTGATTTATTTAAAGTGATTCATTTTTGTTGCAAATCTCAAAGGAGGGGTGTTAATTTATTAGTTTCAGATCCCTAACTTGATGCCACATTCCCCATCCTGTCATTTGTCCTAGTATGCTCCACAAGGTCAGTATTTGTAAGAAATTGTGTATATTTCAGACTGCTGTAAGTAATGTGTTAAAAGACAATTTTCAGAAGAAAGTTTCAGTTCCAGAAAGCAGACTTTTAGAAAGTAAACAAGCCTTTTGTGCTCCAAACAACTTTATCTGGTTCTGGGTTATTGGTGGTTCAGAAATGGAGAACACCTGGGTTTGGAGAGTGCCAGCTGCCAAGTTGTGGGGAGGACCCACACGGCCCATTCTTACAGGCTGGCATTCATTCTTCCAGACAAGTGAGACAGAGTGGGCTTTCTGCCTTCATGCAGCGAGAGCTGTTGAAGGATTTTCCCATCAGATGGTGAATGTTTATAATGTTTGTTTATTTTATTTTCATACTGAGTGAGGGTTTTCTGAATTTAAATACTTTCCTTTTTGTAAATAATTTTCAATGAGTCCTGATCCTGGGTTAAAAGAAGCATGGCGTAACAGTTTAGATTAATACTTCATTCTCCTTCCTTAGAAACATGAAATTTTGGAAGTTTAAACTTCTAAAACATGATTCAATTCTTGTTTTCAGAGGAGGAAATGAAACTTATTTTTCCTTTGTTTATCATTATATAGTTTTCATTTTGTTTCCTATTGATCACATTTTTCCCCCTCTGCCTCCTTATTAGAGGAGTACTGTGGAATATTTTTGTTAAGGAAAAATTAAAATCAGTGTACCCAACTTTATTATAAAATGCTCATACCTAAAATTTATCAAGTTCCTAATTTTTTGAGCATACAGCTCTGTGGCATTAAGTACATTCACGTTGTTGTTCAGTGTCACTGCATCCATCTCCAAAGCTTTTCCATTATCCTAAATTGATAATTTTCGATTATCCCGTTATCCCAAATCTGTACCCAGTAAACAGTAACTTCTCAAGCCCCTTACCCCTAGCCCTGACAAACATTATTCTACTTAGTTTCTCATGAATTTCACTATGCTATTTACCTCATGCAAGTGGAGTCATACAATATTTGTCTTTGTTTGGGCTTATTTTAACAGTGTTTCGAAGGTTCACTTAGGTTCTAGCACATATCAGAATTTTGTTCTTTATTTAAGCTTAAATATTACTCCATTTTGTATACTGGGTTTTATTTATCCATTTGTCAATCACTAGACCTCTGGGTTGTTTCTGCCTTGTCTTTTGTATTAGCCTGCTTTCCATTACTGTTACAGAATATTGTACCTGATAGAATCAACTTCAAAAGAAGAAAGGTTAATTTTGGCCCATAGTTTTAGAAGTTTCAGCCCATGATCAGTTGGTTGTGGGCGTGTGGCAAGGCAGCATATCATAGTGGGAATTCATGACAGAGGAAGCCTATTTGCCTCATAGCTGGGAAGAAAAAGGAAGGAGGAGGAGCTAGGGTGCCATTATCCCATCAAATGCGCACCTCCCAGGACCTACCTTCCTTGCACAGGCCCCATTTCTTAAAGCCATGTTGGGGATCAAGCCTTTAATACATAGGCTTTAATACATAGGCTTTAATACATGGAAGACATTCAAGGTCTGCACTTACAGCAGCTCTTGGGAATAGTGCTGCTCAGAGGTGTTTAGATAGGTGTTTAGTCTCTGCATTAGTTCTTTTGGGTATCACTAGAGTGGAATTGCTGGTTGAGGTGCTAATTCTGTGTGTTTTTCCTGTACTTTTCATTATAGTAAAATACATTTAACATAAAATTTACCATCTTAACCATTTTTTAAAATACAGTTCAGGGGTAGTAAGTGTATTCATATTGTTGTGCACCTGTCACTGCCATCCATCTCCAGAACTCTTGTCAGTTTGTGAAAAATGAAACTCTGTGTCCATGAAACAGTAACTTCCCATTTCCCCTCCTTCCAGCCCCTGGCAATTACTATTCTGTGTTATTTTTCTATGAGTTTGACTATTCAGTGTATCTCACGTAAAGGGAATCATGCAGTGATTCTTTTCTTGTGGCTGACTTATTTCATATAATGTGATATCTTCAAGATTCATCCATGTTGTGGCATAAGTCAGAATTTCCTTAGTCCTCTGTGTGTGTGTGTACACATGTATGTGTGTACGATATATATAGTATACTATGTACATATATAGTGTATATATGTATATATTATAAAATGAATAAAAGAAATTCTTCAAAATGAATAAAAGAAATTCCTTTTTAAAGAGTATACATTTTGCCTATCTATTCACCCATCAGTGGAAATTTGAGTTGTGTTTTCATCTATTGTGAATGATACTGCTGCTCTGTGGACATACGTGTATAAATATCTCTTTAAGACACTGCTTTTTAATTCTTTTGGATACATATTTAGAGTTGGAATTACTAGGTCATATGGTAAATCTGTGTTTAGTTGTTTTCTTTCCTCCAGTAGGTATATTATTTTATATCCCTCTGACAATGCAGAAGTGTTGTATGTCCATACTAACACTTACTTTCTGTGTGTAGGGTTTTTTGTTTTTTTTTTTTTGTGTGTGTGTGTGTGTTTTGAAAGTAGGCATCCTAATGGGTGTGAGATAGTGTCTTGTTTTAGTATTGAATTGGAATTTTCTGATTATTAATGATAATTAGACATCTTTTCATGTGCTTATTGGCCATTTATATAGCATCTTTGGAGAAATATCTATTCAACTCCTTTGCCTATTTTTGAATTGTTCTTGTTCCTGTTACTAAGTGTCTATATTCTGATTATTAATTCTTTACCATATATATATGGTATATATTTGGTATAGATGATATATATTTGGTATAGATGGTATAGATGGTATATATTTATATATATATATAAAAATATAAATGGAGTGAGGTAGCTCAGTGCTGGAGTGCTTATCTAGCATGCATGAGGCCTTGGGTTCAATCCTCAGCACTACAAAAAACAAAACAAAACAAAAAAACAGAATCCCATTTTGTGGGTTGTCTTTTTACTCTATTGATAGTGTCTTTTGATGTGTGACATGTCAAAATCTTCATAAAGTCCAATTTGTCTATTTTTCTTTTGTTTTCTTCGCCTTTTTGTGTCATCTAAGAAGTCATTGCTAAATTCAGTATCATGAAGCTCTTGCCTTATACTTTCTTCAATAGGAAACTATAGTAAAACCAATAACCATTTTATTGTTTTAGGTCTTACGTTTAGGACATGAATCCATTTTAATTTTTGCAAATGGTGTTAGATAAAGGGCCAACATCATTTTTTTTTTGCATATAGATATCTAGTTTTCTTAGCACCTTTTATTGAAAAGACTGGTTCTTTGCTAGTTGGATTTGGCATCTTTGTCAAAAATCATTGAATTATATGTATGAGGGTTATTTCTGGCCTGTGTAATGTGTCAATCTATATGTCTGTGTTTATGCCAGTATCACACTGTTTTGTTTACTGTGCCAGTTATCTTCATTGTCAGCATGACTGGATTCAGAGACTCCTGAAGGGATAGTTGGATCATGGGGCACTATATGCATCAGTGGACTGACTGGTCCACTGACATTCACAGCTGAAGGTGCTGTTGGGAAACGCACAGACGGAGAGGTTACTGGGTGCGTCATGCCTTTGGTGGGTATGTCTTGCTGGCATGCTGATCCTTGCTCTGCTTCCTGTCCACCATGAAGCGAGCAGCTTTGCTCTGCTATGCCCTTCTGCCATAATGTTTCTGTCTTGGGGCCCTCCAGTCATGGACCATGAGCCAAACACACCTCTCCTCTTTTAAGTTGTAAGTGTTGAGTATTTTGTCCTAACAGTGGGAAAGCTAATACAGTTACTGTAGTTTTATAGTAAGTTCAGAATTTAGAAAGTGTGAGTCCTTCATCTTTGTTCTTTTCAGGATTGTTTTGGCTTTCAGGATCTCTTGTGATACAGTGTGAATTTTAGGATAGTTGTTATTTCTTCAAAAAATGTCCTTGGGATTTTAAAAGGGATTACATTGATCTGCTGATGTCTAAATATTTTATTTTATTTTATTTTATTGATATGATGGCAGATGAAGTTGTTTTCTTAATTTCCTTTTGGGATTATTTATTGTTAGTCTATAAAATGCAGCTGATTTTTTTTTTCCAGTACTAAGAATTGAACTCACAACCTTGCACCTGCCAGGCAGGTGCTGTGCTGCTGAGCTATATCCCCAGCCCCCCGCTGATTTTTTTGAGTGTTGATACTTTACTGAATTTTTTTTTACAGTATTAGTTCTAGCAATATATTTATAGACTCTGTATATAAGATCATATCCTCTATGAACAGAAATAATTTTACCTCTTTCTGTCCAATTTGGATGCCTTTTATTTCTTTTCATGCTTAATTGTTCTGGTTAAAACTTCCAGTACTGTGTTAAAGAGAAGTAGTGAAAATAGGCATTCTTCCTTTTTTCCCATTAGTGGAAAAACTTTTAGTTTAGTTGTCCACATCACTGCCCCAAAACCTTGCATATGCTGGGTAGGCACTGTACCACTGAGCAGCATTCCCAGTTCTTCACACTGAGTGCAGTGTTTATGGTGGGCTTCTCATAACAGGTTTTAATTAATGTTACAATAATTTCCTCCTATTTTTAGTTTGTTGAATGTTCTTTTAACCAAGCAAAGGTGTTGAATTTAGTCATAAACTTTCTCTGCATCATTTGAAATGATCATGAGTTTTTTTCTTCCCTTCAGTCTTTTAATGTGGTATATTACACTGATTTTCATATGTTCAGTCACCATCTCATGCTAGGAATAAATCTCACTTGGTCATGGTGTATAATCCTTTTAATATGTTCCTGAATTCGATTTGCTATTGTTTTGTTGAGGATTTTTCCATCAGTGTTCATAGATGATATTGGTCTGTAGTTTTCTTGTGTTTTTATCCAGCTTCGATAATGCTATAATACATACTTGCCTCTTAGTTGAATTTGGGTATGTCCCCTCCTCTTTAGAAGAGAATTTTGAGAAGGTTTAATGCCATTTCTTATTTTAAATGATTGATAGACTTCACCATTAGAACTGTTATATTCAGGGCTTTTCTTTCTTCAGAGATTTTTAATTATTTATTCAACTTCCTTAGTAGTTACTGGTCAGATCAGATTTTTCTGTTTCTTTTGTGGTTTAATCTTAGCATGTTCTATGTTTCTAGGAATTTACTTTTATCTAGGTTATCAAACTTATTGTTGTAGAGTTACTCATATAAAAACCTCTTGATTTCCAAAGAGTTGATGATGTTCCCACTTTCATATTTGATTTTAGTAATTTGATGGCTGGGGGTGTAGCTCAGTGGAAAAGTGCCTAACATGTGCTAAGCCCTACATTTGATTCCAGTGTCAACAAAACAAAGAAAAAGAATGATTTTAGTAATTTGAGGGTTTTTTTCCTTAGTGTCTCTAAAAAAAAAGTTTGATAATTTTAATGATCTTTTCAAAGAGTCAACTTTTGGTTTTGTTGACAGTTTTTCTGTCCTTTTTTTTTTTTTTTTTCCCCGTTGGTCTTTTTGAGACAAGGTTTCACTGTGCAGTTCAGGCTGCCCTTGAGCTCACTTTGTAGCCCAGGCTGGCCTCGAACTCGCAGTGATCCTTCTGCCTCAGCCTCCTAAGTGCTGGGATTACAGGTGTGTGCCACCATGCCCAGCTCCTATTTTTAATATCGCTATTAGTTAATAATTAATTCTGAGCCTGGGCTACAAAGTGAGCTCAAGGCCAGTCTAAACTTCATAGTGAGACCCTTTCTCAAAAAGACCAAAAAAAAAAAAAAAAAAAAATTTAATTCTGTCCTTCTGCTACCTGTGGGTTCAGATTTTCTTTTTCTAAATTGTTAAATTGTAAAGCTAGGTTACTGATTTGAGATTTTTTTTTTTTTTTAATGTAAGCTTTTTCTCGCCTCTACTGGTGATTGAACCAGGGTACCTGAGCTACATCCTCAGCTTTTTTTTTTCTCTTCTTTTTCAGACAGTTTAAGTGACAAATTGCCCAGGCTGTGTTCAGGACTGTGATACACATGTGCACTGTAGCTTTAAAACTCCTCTGTAGGGCAGTTCACTGCATCTCCTAAATTTTGGTATGTTGTATTTTCATCTCTAGGTGTTTTAAAATTTCCCTAGTGATTCCTTCTGATGAATTTCTTGCTTTTTTCTTTTTTTTTTCCGGTACCGGGAATCGAACTCACAACCTCGCGTTTGCCAGGCAGGCGCTGTGCCACTGAGCTAAATCCTCAGCCCCTTCCTTCTGATGAATTTCTTAAGGGTATAATGTTTAATCTCCACAAGTTTGTGGATTTTCCAGTTTTCCTTCTGTTACCGATTCCTAATTTCATCTCATTGTGAGAGAAGAATCTTTGTATGATTTGTATCGTATAAGATCTATTGAATATGTAACCTAACATATGGTCACATCCTGGAAAGTGTCTCCTTGAGAAGAATATGTGTGCTAGGGCTGTAAGATTCTGTGGCTATAAGACACAGTGTTTTGTGTCTAATAAATCTACTTGCTTTATTGTGAGTTGCTCTTTTACTTATGTTGCTTTCTTACTTTCTCTCTGATCGTCCTCTCCAGTATTAAAAGTGGGCTATTGAAGTCTCTGGTTATTATTGTGGATCTATTTCTCTCTCCAATTCTGTCAGGTTTTGTTTTTTTTGTTTTCTTCCGGTACCGGGAATCGAACTCACAACCTTGTGCTTGCCAGGCAGGCGCTGTGCTGTTGAGCTAAATCCCCAGCCCCTCTGTCAGTTTTTGCATCATAAATTTTGACAGTGTGTCATTATTTGTCATTTATAATTTTTCTTGCTATAGCAAACATTTTCTTAACATGTTTTTTGTCTCTTGTAATCTTTTTGATTTAAAGTATATTTTGTCTGAAATCTGTATAGTTACCCCTGCCTTCTGTGTTTTCTTCTTTACTCTTTGCATGGAATACCCCCCACTCCCAATCCTTTCATTTTCAAAATTAGTCTCTTGGAGGCAAGCATGTAGTTGGATCACATTTTTTATTCCATTCTGCCAATCTCTTATCTTTTGATTGGAGTGCTTAATCCATATACATTTGAAGTTATTATTGATAAGTGGGACTTATATAACGTTGCTATTTGTTTCATGTATGCCTTATGTAGTGATGGCCAACCTTTTAGAGCTTTAAATGATAACAGGTAGCTAGCTGTACACGTATGCCATAGATTCACCATCACTGCCTTATATAGCATTTTTATTCCTCATTTATTATATAGACATCATGTGTGTTTAGTTGATTTTGAACAGTGAAATGTTTAAATTCCTTTATCATTTCCTTTCATGTATATTCTATAGCTATGTTCTTCGTGGTTACCATAAGGGTTGTGTTTGATATCCTAAAGTTATAGTACTCATTTTAATTTATGAGCCTGACTTCAGTAACATACAAAGAAATGCTCTTTTACTGCTCAGTTCCCACCCTTTTCAGTTGTTGGATGTTACAGTGTTATATCTTTATACGTTGTATATACAGAAATATGAACTAATACTTTTATTTTGCAGTGCTAGGGATGGAACCCAGAGCCTTTATACTGAGGTACGTTGCTAGTCTTTATTTTTTTTTTTTTTTGAGACAGGGTCTTCGTGAGTCATAAGTTGCCCAGGTTAGGCTGGAACTTGTGAGCTTCTGTCTCAGCCTCCTGGAACATTTTATACAAAAATAATGAAATTGCTAAGAAATCCCATTCACAATAGCTACCAAATTTTTTTTTAAGGAATAAGTTTAACTGAGGAAAGGAATGATCTCCACAGTGAGAATCACAAACCACTAATGAAAGATACTAAAAAGGATACACAGTCAAAAATGGAAAGACGTCCCATGTTCATTGGTTGGAAGAATTAATGTTGCTAAAATATACATACTATCCAAATCTATCTATAAATTCAGTGTATTTCCTATCAAAATACCAAAGACATTCTTCACAGGAGAAAAAAATGTCTAAAATTGAAACCACAGAGACCTAGAATAGCTAAAGCAACCCTCAGCAAAAGGAGGAAAGCTGTAGGTATCACAATACTTCAGTTCAAAACATACTGCAAAATTGGAGTAGACAAATAGCGTGATACTAGTATACAAAAACAGACATACAGACCAGTGGATGACAGCAAGGAGGAGATGCTCATTTGACAGTTTTTAGAGGATTTAGTCCATAGTTGGCCCCAAGACAGAAGCAGCATGCTGGTAAGGCCTGGTGAAGGACAGCTGCTCTTCCCTTGACAGCCAGGAAGCAGAGAGAGAAAAGAAAGGAGCTGAGACAAGAATACATCCTTCCACATCATGGCTGCAGTGACCCACCCCTTCTCCCTCTTTCTCTCTCGCTCTCCCCCTCCCTTTCCCCTCCTCCTTCCCTCTCATTCTGGGATACGGTATCATGAAGTCACTGAGTTGTCCAGGCTTGGCTTCAACTTGTGATCCTCCTGCCTCGGGCTCAGAGTGCTGGGATTATGGGTGTGTATCACCATGCCCAGTGATGATTATAACTTTTTAATGGCTCAACAAAAGAAAAAAATTTTATACTGAGATGTAGATATGCCATAACATTAGTTGTTGAATCTAGATAGTGGTGTTTGGGTATGCTTTTCCCCCTACCTTTGTATAATTTGAAAATTTTCATAATAAAACGTAAAAAAGAAAAATTGTAACTATAAATAATTACAAAATTATTTAAAGATGATTTCAAGAATGGTATATAATTCATTCCATATTAGTAATAATGGTTTAATTATTAGAGTGTAGGAAAGAACTTAAATGGGTATAAGTCCAGGAGCCCTCACAGCCCGGGTGAGGCGTGTGAATGAGTAGGGTTGTGCGAGCGAGACAGCAGGGAAGCGGTAGGTTGAGGGCACGGGAGAATGCACCTGTAAAGCGTTCTTCAAAAATCAAAACCTTTGAACCGTGTGTGTTCAGAATAAAATGCTCCCAATGAGTGACAGCTTTTGTTCTCCTCAAAATGACAGAATTTACCATCTCTAAATTTATTCAGCTTTCTGTCCTCCTCCTCCTTTATCAAAAGATACGGGAGAGGATCAACCATCAATACAAGGGAGATGGAGATGGTTTGCTCGCCCGGTATAGTGAGAGTAAAATGTATTCATTGTCTCCACAATTTGCCTGATTTGCCATCATTTTGTCAATTCAGTAGAAAAAGTGGCCTGTTTTTTTTTTTTTTTTTTTGTCCACTGTCCTATCTTGTTTCTCTTGTGGCCCAGGGCAGGATTTATGACAGATTTTGAAGATTTGCAAGTCAAGGAAGCACCTTCTGATGATAGATCCATGTACCTGGGTTTTGCTTGTAGATGGTTAGGCAAGGGTACGGTTGTGGCTTGGTAGAATGACTTGAAGTGTAATACTTTTTACTTTGAAGTTGGCTAGGCAATTTAAACACGTTAGTGTGCTTTTTAGACCCGGCAACCTTCTCAAATCCTACCCTTGTCCCTTTCTGCATTAAGGGTTTTGTTCTGTCAGCTAAGCTTGGTCTCTTGGCTCTCTGTTTCAGCCTTCTGACCCTGTCACTTTCCTCCTCTGGACTGCAACAGTCTGCTCAAGCACTGGAGATAATGCGATAAAGATAATGCATTCATCTTGGAAGATCAGGTCCAGACTGGGACAGGGCCTCCTGCTTGGGGTGGAGAGGGGCACATGTAGCACAGAGACCCCAGGAAACTTTCTTCTCTCAAGTCTTCTCCAGGTCTCTCCTGGGAGTCCTGCATCCCTGTGCTCTGACTTCAAGATCTTTTATATGTGAAGTGCTGTTTGAGGCACAAAAGTTGAAGAGATGAAACAACACACGGTCTCCTCAACCACTGTACGATATTACCACACTTTGAGGTGTGTGTGTGTGTGTGTGTGTGTGTGTGTGTGTGTGTGTGTGTGTAGGACTAGAGCTTAAACCCAGGCCCTTTGCACTGAGCTGCATCTGCAACCCTTTATTATTTTTTAGTTTGAGACAGTTGCTAAGTTGCTCAGGTTGGGCGCAAAGTCCTGCCTCAGCTTCCCAGAGTGTATTACCACACTTTTAGTCACCTTGGAGAAAAAACTATTTTAAGGTGTGTTGGCCATGTAAGCCTTGGTGAGAATGAAGGACATAGAACTGGTTTTTAGAGAGAATGGGGTGCCTGGAGTGGAAGAGAGAACTGCCTAAGAAGACCTTACTGATATTAATGGGAAAGACCTTGATTATTTTTTGTTAAAATGAGTTTATTTATTTAAAAAGTTTTTAAGGAGAAATGCATTCATTTGGTTTTTAAAATTGTGTTAAAGATAGATGTGGTGACCCTGACCCACACCTTTAATCCCAGCACTCTTGGGAGATTGAAGCAAGAGGATCATGAGTTTGCGCCCTGCCTAGGTATCTTAATAGCACTCTGTGTCAAAATAAAAAATGAAAAGCGCTGGGCATGCAGCTCAGTGAGAAGGCCCTGGTGCAGTCCCCAGCACTGGGGAAAAAGGGTAGAAGTGTACTGTCAAGGTGTCTCTCTCCGTCCTTGCTCACTGACTTAATTCTGCTAAATGGTTCTTTATGTAAACATAAGTAAATTTGAACATATATTTTACTTGTACCCTTCCCATTTTGACACAGTGATCACACACTCCATTTTATATATACTTTTTAGTACTCTTATCTTATGGATATTTTTTCCATGAGAGTACTTAGAGAGCTTTTTCATTCTTTCTTAGGTTCATATATTATTTATGGATATACTAAGACTTAACATGTCCCTTATTGGTGGACATGGGGGCTGTTGCTGACCTTTTCCTGTTACTGTCTCTGCCACAGTGAACATTCTTACATGGACATTAAATGTCATTTAGCATGTGTGGTAATGTATGTGTAAATTCCTAGTAGGAAATTACTAGATCCACACCAAAGTACCCTCCATAGCGATGTCAACAGTTTACATACTAGTCAGCAAAGACTGTTTCTTCACAGTGCACCTATAGGAGGTTTTTCATGCTTTTGGATTTTTACCAATTTGACAAATAAGAAATGGGCTTGTAATGAAATTTTCATTTTGTTTTGTTGTTTTCTGTTTTGAGATAGGGTCTCGCTGTGTCATTCAGGCTGGCTTTGAACTCACTATGTAGACAAGGCTGGCCTCAAACTTGTGATCCTTGTGCCTCAGCCTCTCCCGTGCTGTGCAGTGAAGTTTTGTTTTTGTTATGGATGAGTTGTGCATCTTCTGCTTAAGGCATTGGTATTTCATTTTTTATGAAATGCCTTTCCATATCCTTTGTTAGTTTTTCTTTTTCTTTTTCTTTTTTGCCAGTTGCTAGGAACTCTTCATATATTAAGAAGATTACCCTTTGCAAACATTTTCCTCAGATTTTCAGATTTTTTAACTTGTATTTTTCACCATGAAGCATTTTACTATTGTTGAATTTATCCATGTTTTCTTTATAGCATTATCATGGCCCACTATTGATAGTACAGAATCATTCATTCCTCTTTCCTTGATGTTTCCTTCCTCTTCTTTCACTCTTAAACCGATAGCAAAGATTTCCCCCTGGTTTGCTGTCCTGGTCCTACATTTCTTGCCATTGGTAAGCTATCTATTGATAATTTTATTAGATTTATTAGCCTGAAAAATTCCCCTTCCTTTGTATAGGCACTCTGGGAAATTGGCATTTTCTTATTAAATAATATGATCCTGTACTTGCATTCTTGGACATGTATCTCAGAGACATGAGAAGCTATGTTTATACAAAAACATATGTGTATGACTGCTCATAGCTGCTTTATTTGTAGTAGTCCCAAAGTGGAAACAGTCCAAGTATCCTTCAGTGGGCTCATGGTTGAACATACTCTGGTATACACATACTATGGAATACTAAGAAATAAAAAAACAAATTAATGGTACATCAATGATGTATAAAAATGTCTTCTGCCTTGCACCTGTAAAATAAAAGTGTCTAATCTATTATGTTGGTAAAAACTCCATACACCAAAGGTTACGTACTGTATTATTCTGTTTATGTAACATTTTCATGTGATGGAACTTTTTAGAATCTGACTGTGTGGGTGGATACATGAACCTACACATACGAAAAAATGTATGGAACCAAATACATAAATGAGTATAAATAAAATGGGGAAATCTGAGTATTAGTAGATTGCATCAATGTCAGGATCCTGGTTATGACATGATATTAGAGATTACCATTGTGGGAAACTGGGTAAAGAATGTACAGATCTTAATAAAATTTTCAGTAAAAAAAACATAAATCCCTCATTACACTACTACCAAATTCACCCAAGGCACTACCTGGATATATGTTCAGTTCGAGCAGCTGATAAGCTTCTGTGTTAGGACTGCAGTGGATCAGCCAGTGTGTGATGCAGGGCTTCCAGCTCTGCCATCTGTTCTTCAGTCCACGACAGACCTGAGAGCACTGACCAGCACGGCAGAGGCTTCTCTGGGTGGGGCCTGTCCTGTCAGCCATCTTTGGGGGAGAAATCATTGGCTTAAGCCCCAATGCATCAGAGCAGTGAGGGCTTGAAGTTGGTTCATGGAACACTGCAGTGGATAAGATAAGCTTTGATGGGGCAGGTCTGCCCGAGTGATGCCCCAGCATGGGCCCCATGGTAACCTGTATTCCCTGTGCCTTGCACTGTGCCACTGGCTCTAGTGTGAGTCGGCATGGCATGCATGGTGGTTCTCAGAGTGTGGTGGGGAATGAATGTCGAAGAGCCTTGAGGCCCTGCCGGGGAGTATGTGAGGTCAAATCTATTTTTGCAGTAATACTTAGACATTATGTGCAAATCACTCCCATTCCCTTACATGTCTATTGCGGAGTTTTCCAGAAGTTTCCTGAGGTAAATAGCAACAGTTTAAATACAGAGTCAGATATAAGAATCCAGCTCTTTTCCATTAAGGCAGACATTAACTAAAAAGACAAAAATATAACCTAGTCCCATTTCTCTTGCTTTGTTTTGGAAAAATATAGCTATTTTTCTTAAAATAAGTTATTTGTAATGGTGTTATTGTTTTCAAGTGATTTAGTATTTAGGAATTTCCCCAGGTTTAATTAATAGGTGAATAGTTATAAATTTAACTCATGTAAACAAGAGCTCTTTGAAGCCCACAGTAATTTGTGAGAATTTAAAAGGATGCTGACACCTAAAGGTTTGAGACTGATGCATTGGCAGCATTGACCAAAAGTCTTTAGGCTTAGGTTCTAGTCAGTGCTTTGCTTTCTGACCATGGGCAAGTCCCTTAGCCTCTGTAAGTGAGTCTTGTCCTGTGTAGGCAGGGTATTCAAGTACTAGGATTAAACCCAAGGGCATTCTGCCACTGACCTATTGTACATCCCCAGCCCCCTCTGTCTTCCTCCCTCCCTCCTCCGTTCTTCCCTCCTTCCCTCCTTTTCTCCCTGTCTTCTTGCTTTTCCCCTTTCTTTGTTTCCCTCTTCCTCCCTCTCCCGCTCTCTTCCTTTCCTTGCTCCTTTCTTATTTTGAGATAGGGTCCCACTGAGTTGCCCAAATCAGACTTGATCTTGAAATCTTCCTGCCTCAGCCTCCCTAAGTGCTTGGATTACAGGTGTGCAGCAGTGCACCTGGCTTGATTCTTCTTCTGTAAATGCTAATAATGTTACCCTGTTCTAGAAAGAAAAATCAGGTAATTATATATGAAAGGCTTTAACAATGTAATGCCCTGTGTTAAATTCAGAAGAGTTATGTTGCTAAAGTCATATTGAAAGAAAGTGTAAAGAATGAGTTGGTCGTATTAGTTAACACCCCACTTATTTTATCATTTTAGAATTTCCTCTTAGTTTTCTTACACATTTTACAGTATTAGTTTTTCAGACAACCATTTTAATTATTAAAAGAAATTAATACATCATCTGATCAATGGAATTTTTATTCCTAATACCTGCAAGTACTGGTAGCATAAGGTCTCTCTTGGAGAAACAATTTACTAGCTACATGACTTTGGTAGTTACTCAGTCTCTCTGCGTCTCAGCTGGCTCATCTGTCAAATGAGGCAAACAGTAATTTATTTTCTGAGGTATGAGTGTGAAAAATAATGCACAGGAGTGCTGCACTTGGCAGAAGTGATTAGATGCTCCATAAATGATAGTTGGACTGATTAGTGTACAGCAAAAGACACAAGATTAAATGTCTTCCCCTCCCTTCAATGAAATCATTATACTAGTTTTATTTACAAATATATTAGCAGAAACTTCATTTCATTTCGTTCTCTTTTTCTGTGTTGAAGGGCTGTTGAGTGGCCAGACTTCCCCAACAAATGCCAAATTGGAGAAACTGGATTCTCAGCAGGTGCTGCAGCTCTGTCTCCGGTACCAGGATCACCTACACCAGTGTGCGGAGGCTGTTGCTTTTGATCAGAATGCTTTGGTTAAACGAATCAAGGAGGTAATGTACTGTGGGGAAGGAGCGTTGCTGAGTCATCATGAATCTCTGTAACTTCTGATTCCTTTTCTACTGGGCAGCGTAGCCAGTGATCCGAGCTTTATGGAAAGTGGTCGTTCTCCATTTAAGATATGATATTTGTCTTCCTTGGTTTGGGGAGATTCTTTCTGAGCAGTAAAATGTGATGATGAAAAGAGTGATCCACAAAGCTAGGCCAACCTGGAGTTTAAATCCTGGCTCACTATAATTTGGTTAGGCAGGTACTTAACTTCTTTTTGTCTCAGTTTATTCATGAAAAATGAGGGTGATAGTAGTAACCTACCCCAAGAGTTGAGTGACAGTGAAATTGCTTAGTAAGTATTAGCTGTTGTTAGTATGTGTCCAGCCATGCTAATTTGCTCGGCTGACATTACAGCTTTGAGTTGACTTTAGCTGTTTCTTGTAAATACCTTATATTTTCTTTTCTAGTAGGTTATTATTTCTTTGAAAGTTGAAGCCTTGATATCTCCCTCAGTTACATTTTTCACTGTATTAGCACATGAAAAGCTAGGGTTCTTATGGGTTGCATAGAAATAATTATGCCTACTTAATCCACAAGGCTTTTGTGAGGAAAGACACAGTATAATTCATGTGAAAATACTTAGTGAACTAAAGAACTTGGTACAAATGTTGTGCAATTACCAATTGCAGTAAATCGGTGGTTCTTTTAAGCACTGAAGTGTATTATTGACCAGGTCACTGAATGGCATAGTTCTGGGAGCACCAGGGTATGAGTAAATACATTTTCCAAAGTTTCCAATCAGATTTTCCTGATGCTTGAGATAGTGTCATATAAAGAAAAGGCCAGGAGCTCTGTCTTAGAGAAGCCGTGTGTGTGAACGGCACTCTCTAAATTTAACGGAATGGCCTTGGGTCATTAATTCTGGTAAAAGAAAGTGGACATGGAGAAACACACAGATTACTTTTCAGTTAATAATAGACATTATTTATCCTTGAAATTATGAAGTAGTCATTAATTATATTAATGGATTTAAGTTGACCAACACTTCTAACATTTTAATACTTCATTAAAATTTTGTATGCATCTAAGTACTCTTCTCCCATGGATGAAATAGTAGTATTTGAGAACTATTAAGTAAGATCTTTTGTATTGTTTGGTATTGATGTGGGCTTTTGAATATTATAAATTTGGCTTTTCTGTATTACGGTCCATACAACTCTAATTCCTAAACACTACTATGTATCAGCAATAGCTTTTTTTTTTTTTTTTTTTTTTTGTGGTACTGGGGCTCGAACCCTGGACCTTTGCACTGAGCTCCATGCCCAGGGAGTCCCTCCTCCTTCAAAAAAATTTTGAGATTGAGTCTTGCTAAGCCATCAGGCTAGGTTTGAACCTGAGAGCTTTCCTGCTTTAGCCTCCAAGAGTGCTGGGGTTATAGGCTTGTGCCACCATGCCCCACTCACTTGGATACTTTTGTGTGAGTACTGAATTCTCCCCTCCCTTCATGGGGTATAGGGTGTGGTCTTTGAATAATTGTTTCTTAAGTTTACCAAATAATACTAATGCCACTCTTCATTAGGTAGGATTGGGAACCATTGGTCTGAAGCACGGCTCTCCAAAATAACTTCTACAAAGACTAGTCCCAAGTAAAGAAGGCCAACCTTTTCCAGTCTTGTTACCACTCCTTGGAGAGGCATAATGTGTATTATTTAAAGTTCTTACGTATCTTACAAAAAGAACCAGCATTTTTCAGACTTACTTGACCTCAAAACCCTTATTTTAGGTTATATCTACTAACATTCTGTAGAAGTAAAGTTTTTTTAGAACATTAACTTAGAAGGGTTCTTCTAGACATAAAAGTTTACTATTTTTGACTATTGCACTAGAAGTTAACCCTGACATTAGCTCTCGAGAGATAATCTTAAAATAATAAATTGCCTTTTTTAAAAAAAGTCCTGTATTCCATATCTTGTTTTCCAGTGTAGGAAGTGTGGTACAGAGAGATTAAGTGGTTGACTCATTGTCAGAGAGCTAAATAAAGTATTCAGTAGCTGGTATACCAAACAGAGCTCCTTGTTATATACAACTGTGTCAAGACCTCAGAGCTGCTTTTCTTGGTCTTAGGTATGTGTAGGATCTCCTGAGATTTTGTCCCTCCAGTACAGGTGATGGAAAACTCTGCACATACCTGAAGAAGACTGATACAGTGAAGTTGCGTGTACTCGTTATCTAGTTACTGTATTCATCAGTTGTGAGCACTGCTGTGTCAGCCAGAACTCACTCACTCCCTGCCACCTCCCCAGTTAGTCTGTCTTATAATGTTGTTTCATTCATAAATATCTGTGTACGTATTTTTCAGAAGTAAAGATTCTTTTAAATAAAACCTTTTTGGAGATACATGCTTTAACCTGATTTGAACACAACACAGTGTATACATGCATTGAAACATCATGTTAGTACCTATTAGTACGTATAGTTGTGGTTCTATGTATTAGTTGAAAATAAATTTAATTTTAAAAATAAATGTGTAACATTTTAAAACTTCTAAATTTGAATGAATTTTGGACTTAGCAAAAAGTCACAAAAATACTTCAGGGAGTATCTGGATATTCCTCATGAAAGTTCTCCCCAAATCAGTATCTTATATAATTTTAGTACAGTTGATCAAAACCAGGAAGTTAACATTGGTACAATACTATTAACTAAATGGAGACTTCATTTAAATTTCACCAGGTTTCCTGCTAACATAGAATTCCCTTTTAAAAAAATATAGCTATAATGCTGTTATACCTAATATATTTCCATGTAGTATAGCTAAGGTACTTTTCAGAAAATATGATGCTTAGGTTTCACTCCCAGCCAATCAGATTAAAATCTTCGTAGAGCAGTGAGACAGGGAAGAGGCAGCTGAGCATTCGTATTTAAGATACTGCTCTAATGCTTTTAGTGTGTAACCTGAGTTTCAAGCCAGTGTTCTGGAGCTTCCACTTAATAATATTAGATTGAGTTTAAAGTTCTTTTTTTTTGAGACAAGGTCTCGTTATATAGTTCAGACTGGCCTTGAACTCACTGTGTACCCCAGGCTGGTCTCAAACTGGCAGCAATCCTCCTGCCTCAGCCTCCTGAGTGCTGAGATTATAGACATGTACCAGCATGCCTAGTGAGTTTAAAGGTCTGTTTGAGGATCTTTGGAGCTGATTTTGAGAAGTCAGTACAAGTTGGAGATCCCTAATTCCAAAACTCCAAAACCTGAAATACTCCAGAATCCAAAACTTTTCTAGTGTCAATGTAATGCCACAATGTAAAAATTTACTTACTACACTTGCCCTCATATGATGAGTTGCAGGTACCCTAAAAATAGTGCTATGCACAGCACACAACATTTATTTGAAACATCAGTAAATTTTGTGTTTATACTTGGGTCCCATCCCAAAGACACCTCCTTATGTATATGCAAAATATTCCAAAATCCAGAACACTCTGGTCCCAAGCATTTTTTTTTTTTTTTTTTTTTTTTTTTTTTGTGTGGTTTTTCTCCGGTACCGGGAACCGAACTCACGACCTTGCACTTGCCAGGCAGGCGCTTTTGCCGCTGAGCTAAATCCCCAGCCCCTGGTCCCAAGCATTTTAAATAAAAGATACTTAACCTATAGTTAACCAGGACTGTTGCAAAACAGAGAACAGTAGTAAGAGTACTGCGCAATACCTCAAGTAGCTCTCTTGGAGCAGAGGATGTGAACACTGTTTCAGAGTTTCCATTGGTGATTTAATGAGTCCATTGTGTCTCTGCTGGTAAGTGTTAGCAAGCTCCTGCAATGTACACATCCATACTCAGGGTAAACCTAAGGGTTCAAATTAGTCACTTCCAAATGAATGAGGCAAAGGATGTAGTTTTGATCAAATACCAACTCTCTGATATTATTCCAGGTGTTTCCTGGAAATTTGGCTAGAAGTGTGAGGAAGCGGCATGATTGTGTTGACAATTATGGGATCTTAGTAACCATGGAGATTATTTATTAAGTAGAAGTAGAGAACCTGAATCAGGTAGACATCCAAAAGTTACACTTACTGTGATCACTGCACTTCAGATCAAAAGAAAGCATTGCCATTAGTATTTCTGAATCAGATAAAAGAAAGCTACACTTTCCTGGTGTTAAATTTGGATGGTGCTCTTGAACTAAAAGTTTATGTTTACAAATCTGTACATGTGAAGGGGAAAGAAAAAAAATGAAGGGAGCTGCTTTCAGTCAGAGTCTTGTAACATCCTGTAAATTAAAAAAACTTTTCTATTAGTACACACTTGCAGTACATATGATTGAAGTGTGTGTGTTAACACATCTTAACTCTTTTCACACCCCCCTTTCCTCTCCTTCTGCGCCCCGCCCTCCGTCTTTTGGTCCCTCTCCTGTTTACAAAAGACCTATCTCCCTGTTTCCTATTATTTGTCTCTTATTTTTCTCTTTAATGTGTTTATACTTACATTAGAAAAATGACCTGATATTTAAGCTTGTGTGTCTTATTTATTTCCCTTAATATTATAGTTTCAAGGTGCATTTTTCCACAAATGACTTGAATTTATTCATTATAGCAGAGTAGTATTTCATTGCATATAAGTACCACATTTTCTTGATCCATTCACCTGTTGATAGACATATGGGCTACTTCAAAGATTGAGCTATTATGAATTGTGCTGCTATAGACATGGGTATGCATGTGTCTCTGTAAGGAATGTCTTTAACTCTTTTGGGAAGGTGCTTCTTGGAAGGGAATTACCTTGGTCGAAAGGAATTTCTAATTTTAGTTCTTCAAGGCATCTCCATATGGATTTCCATAGTGGTTTGTAATGTATCTTGACCACTAGTTTCTCTAATGGCTGTGGCATGGCCTCTTAGCCAGGCAAGCATTGCTGAGCAGATACTGCAGACTCACTTAATGGGAGGTTCATTGGGGGTTATGGAGAGATGGGACATTGTTCTTGTTCTTTGAGAGCTTAGTCTGGGTAAGAGAATGAAGGTACACAGCAAAAAATATGAATGATAGGGCACTATGAATACAATGCTTAACTAGAATTCTGTAGGCCTTAAAGATCGTGATATCCTGAAGCAGTGGGAGTTAAGCCAGGTCTTAAAGAAAACCAGGATTTGAGAAATGCATGCAGAGGGAGTAGGGCATGCTAGTGAAGAACAGCTTAATGGTCTTAGAAGAAAATTAGCAGCAAGTGTTGGGGACAGTGAAAAAACTGGTTTGAGTTCTGGTAAACATGCTCAAAGAAACCTTCTTTGCATGAAGGACCACAGAATATTGGAGTTGGAAGGACCTGAGAGACTTTGGTCTGGTACTCTCATTATTTAGATACAGAAATTGAAGGCTTGTGGAGCAATTTACCCAGGGTTACTAAGTGAGATAGTGGCCAGAGTTAAGTTCAGTTAAAAAATGAATGACAAAAGGGATTTTTATGTTTTTGCTTTTGTTTATCATTTTTATTTTATAGGTAGTTCTTGTGAATGTGTTTACGGGCTGAGGGGGAAGAGGCAGAGAGACAAGATCAAATGTGAAGGAGGAAGGGGAGATTCTTAGTGAGAGTCCCTAAGAGGGAGGCAAGCTGAGGAGGAACTCGGACCCTCGGGAGCATGTGTTGAGGGAGCAGGGAGGATTTGTCAGTGAAGAAGCAGGGCCTTCACTACATGGCACTGGGGTTGTGATGAGCACAGTGGTGAGTGCAGGGAGGCATTAAGGGCCCAGCTGTATGGGAAGATTTGTACGCGGTCTTTGTCGTGCTAGGCCGAGTGGTTCTGTGTGTGAATTTGAGAGCCACAGGGCCAGAGTTCAAATCCTGGCACAGCCTCTTAACTAGTTGCATGGCCTTGGACAAGTTACTTACTCCTTCTGAGCCTTGGTTTCCTCTTTTGCTCAGTGGCGTAAGAACAATGTGTGCTTTAGGTTTTTGAGAGGGTTAAATAAGTTACTCCTATAAAGTGCCTGGGGCTACTCCTGCCATATGGTGACTACTATAGTGTCAGCTCTTGTTAGTATCTTAAATGTGAAGGTTATTAAGTGGCCCAGTGAGTTATTCAGTACTGGGGATTGGGCCCAAGACCTTGACATTGAGCAATATCTCCAGTCCTTTAAGATTCTGAGACAGGATCCCACTAAGTCTCTATGTTGTCCAGGCTGGGTATGGACTTGGGTTTCTCCTGCCTCAGCCTCCCATTGTGCTCAGATTACAAGCGTGGGCCTTACCTGAAGTTCTTGGTACAAGTATAGTACCCTAAATATTGACTGATTTTTACAGTTCTGCTCTTACAACTCAAATGTGATAAAGAACTGAATAGAGGCAAGGCAGGTACTTTTTAGTGGTTTGCAGTTTCACTTAAACCCTGCATGATTTCTTTCATCCCATAAATACATAACTTTTTGGAATTTTTATGTTGAACTGTTTTGTTTGCCTTGTGAATAGCAACCTAACTCCCCTTGGGTCTTGAGAGATACAAAAGTAGACGATGACAAATGATTAGCCCTGGGCTTCCAGGCTGTGGATACATCATTCCTTATTTTGGTGGATGTGTGTGATACATCATCATTTCTGCTAAGGAGTCAAGCTGGCAGAGAGACACTCTGAGTTTTAGGTTACATCTCTCATTCAAATTTGGGTTGACTGAAAGGCGAATGAGAAAGGAGCACATTTGCTCCCCACCTGTGCTCTTTCCTGGAGGCGGAACATGTGATGAGGAAGGAGGGCGCAGATGCACAGCCTAGGAAGTTGGAGTTGAGTCATACAGAACTTTCCCGGTCCCCGATCAGGTTCACTGTGGTTGCTGTCAGTGGGTGAATGTTTTCGTAGATCGGGGTACATTCCTAAGACAAAGCACTAGGATTATTTTGGTACAGTGACTGTGTTCTTGCTTAATCACCTTGAGAACAAAGTCAGATACAGTTCTGGTAATATCTACACTTTTAATTCTTAGATACAGTGATAAGTGTACTGTGTTAGCATGAATGGATTATAAGCATTGGAGAGGGTTTCTGGTGAATGGATGTGAAGGAGTTAGAATCATTGTAAAGCCGTATCAGTGTTTTCATTGCGCCGATAAGGAAGCAAAGGGCCTTAAGGTTTATTTGAGATTTGCTTTTTTTTTTGTACTGAGAATTGAACTCATGACCTTGCACTTGGCAGGCAGGCGCTGCACCACTGAGCTATATCCCCGGCCCTGAGACTCGCTGAAAGTCTTTCTCCTTGTTAATGTCTAAGATGATAGTAGAAGGTGAGTCTCCATGGTGGCCAGTATTCTTTACCACTTTACAGCATTGACTATCACCCAGCCCAACAGTCCAAACTCCCAAGATTTTCCAAAATTCAGAACTATTTGAGCACTGACCCAGTTTTCAAACAGTATCATATTGTCAGATTAGGGATGCCCAACTAGTAAAGTCTACACAAATATTCCAGGATCTGAAACACTTATGGGGACAGGCATTTTGGCTAAGGGATGCTCAGCCTGTGTTTCTGTTCTTCTTTTGAACCCTTCATTTCCTTTGCAGTTACTCCCTTTCCACACGGTGGGCACTCAGCGGGTGTTTGAAGGAAGGCTGACCAGGCATTTCTGTCTGTGGATAGTGCTGTAGTGCGTAAGACCATGCTGAAACCATTTTCCATGTGTTTGGCCTGACTTCCTGTAGTGTGCATCCGCCCAGGGGACAGAGTGCTATCAAGAGCTGTTCCCAGTGTTGTGCAGAGAATCAGTATCTGAACTGGCTGTAGCATTCCCTTTGAAGTCCTTCAGTTAGAACCTAGTTAGCATGAACCTGGTGGTGCTTATTTTCTACCTGCCCCCTGAGCTGAATCTCCTTTAAATAACAGCACTGGTAGATTCCTGTTGCTGCTTTTAAACATAGTCTGCCGTCAATTGCTGCTTTTTTTAAAATCTGAATTTATAAAATGGGTTAGGAGTACTTATTTTAGGATTAAAAATTTTTGACAAGAGCATTGAGATATCCAACTTCTTTTTGGTGAAGTAATGAGGCAAAGCATTTCAAGAAAATTTTGTATTCCCTTTCTTCTGTCTCATAAGTTACTATGGTAGGAGTGGGGGGACTCAAGTTGCTCTGGTATACATTTCAGATTGAAGTTACACAATATAAATTATAGCCGCCTCCCTCCTTTGGGAAACTTTCATTTTCAGTAAGAAATGCAACCAGTCCTTGGGTGGCAGGAAATGTAGATGGGGGGTTGGCTTATTCTGATTCACCTAGCAGTAAGGTATGCTGTACATTGCTTCCTTGGGCTGGGCCCTACGCTTCCTTCAGCACCGTCCTGCCAAAAGAGAGAAATCCTGGAAGTGGGCCGACTGTAGTTTATTACTTGCCTATTGGACATGTAGGCTGTGTTTTTTGGCAAGGTATCACCAAAACCCAATTATTTGACTGTTATGAGATTTAACTCCATTCACGTTCTGGACAGTAGCATATGAGCATGTGTGAACAGCTCCATTTCCCCCCAGTTTGCCTGCCCTAGATATGCCCCTAGACAGCTGGCCCTGCCAGTTCTCTTAGTGCTCGCCACCTGTGCCAGACACTAGAGCCCCTGTGCTTCTCCCTCCCTGCACACATTTCCATCTGCTGGAGAGCCCCAGGAACCCAGAGTATCTGTGATCCATAGCCAGCTAATGGGCACTGTTACGGGCACTTGGGCATAGAAGTGGAATTAAGGCTGGGGAGAGATGTTCCCTGTCCTGTATATCTTTAACAGAGAACTTCAGCACATTTGAACATTGCTGCTGCTATGTTTTGCATCTGGAATATCTCCCCAAAGCTCATGTGTTAAAGGTTAGGCCCCCAGAGTGGTGCTATGGGGAGATGGTGGAACCTTTAAAAGTCAGGACTGGTGGAGGTGTTTGGGACATTGAGAGTGAGCCCTTGAAGGTCATAGTGGTACCCTAGCCCATGCAGTGTTTTGTTTTTGCTTCTTGGCCTTGAAGTACATGGTTCTGCTCTGCTTTGCGCTCCTACCACGGTATATCATGTCATGACAGGCTGAAGCAACAGGGCCGACCAGTTATGCACAGGGGTTTCCAAAACTATGAGCCAGAATAAACCTTTACTCTTGGTAACTGATTTATCTAACGTATATTGTTATAGTAAAGGAAAGCTGACTAGCCAGCCACAATGCCTAGAATAATACCTGACATATAATAAAAAATATGTCTGGTAAATGAACAGTTTTAATAGATTGTTCAGCTACTTCCTGCTACCGACTCATGAGCTTTCTTATTCTTTTGGAGAAAATAAAGGTTTTGAGAGTTGTAATAGGGCAGGCTAGGATGCAGCTATAAATAGACTCAATAATTGTAATGGTTCAAATACAACAGAAGTTTATTTCTTGCTCTTGTTGAAAGGAGGTATTTGTGGTAACGCTCCACCTTTGAGTTCAGAGACTCAGGTGTGCCTTCTGTCTTGTGCTTCTGCCATCCTCACAGACCACAGTACTGATGACATTCAGTTGGCAGGAAAGAGAGCCAGGAGAGTCTTCAAGACTGTACCTGTAAGTGTCGCACATCTGCTTAGAATTTAATTACATGGCTGCAGCTAAATCCAAAGTATCTGTCTCCTCAGGATTATACTAAGTTTTGAACATCTGTATCTTTTTTTTGGAAATGGGGTCTCACTCTGTAGATTAGGTTGGTCTTGAACTCACCATGTAGCCCAGGCTGGCCTTGAGCTTGAAGCAGTCATCCTACTTGCAGCCTCCTGAGTGTTGGAATTACAAGCATGCACCACCACCCCTAATTTATCTGTGTCATCTTTGAACTGAAATGCATCTGTAATTCAATTTCGAGATTCAGAAGGGCTGGTACAAGGTTCAATGGTAAATTTCCCTTGGTTTAAGTCATCTTACTCCTGAAAACCTAGGAACATTAGAGAAATTATGCTTTTAACAATAAGAGAGGGGCTGGGGATTTAGCTCACCGGCAAAGTGCCTGCCTGGCAAGCGCAAGGTCGTGAGTTCGGTTCCCGGTACCGGAGAAAAAAAAAAAAAAAAAAAAAAAACAATAAGAGAGCAAACCCAGGACATAGCAGTATACAGTCAATATAATTTCAACTATGTTAAATATTCATAAACGATTGTTTTTCTTTGTCACCATATATGAGCCTCAGGAGAGTTCTGTCTCCCTCTGGAAACTTACGACTCACCAAGCTAGAACATGGCTCTCAGAGCTGTGTGTACCTGTGCCTTTCCATGCCTCCTTCGTCTGTGAACACTGCAACTGTGTGCCGCGCTGCATCGTAGGTTGAGAAGTCATCACTGGCAGAAGAGATGGACCCTCCATTCATAGACCTTTTGCTCCACTGGGAAAACGAACAATAAACAAAGTAAAAAGTAACATTGATAGCATGTAAGATGATAATAATGTTAAGAATTAAAAAATAAAATGAGAAAGGAAGGCTGGGGATGTGGCTCATTGGTAGAGCATTTGTCTAACATGCACAATTCCTTGAGCTTGAGCTCCGTCATTTAAAAAGGAAAAAAAGCAAAAACAAGAGTTGAGAAAGGGGGATGAGATGTCATTGGGATAGAAATTTTAGTCGAGATGGCTGGGGAAGGCCTTCCTTGAAAGGAACTTTTAACATAAAGACCTACTGGTCAATCTGAAGCTAGCCGGGAAACTCCTTGTAACTGTACTGTACTTGAAATTAGTCCAACTTTTTGACTAATGAAAGTCATAATATCCAAGGTTCTTCTCATTAGTTTTTCCATTGCTATACTTATCTGGATGTTCTGAACTGAAGTGTGTGTGTTACTAGAGATGGAACCCAGTGCCTTCACACTGAGCTACATCCCCAGCCCTTTTAAAATCAGTTTCTAATTTTGTGACAGGGTCACCCAGGCCGCCTTTGGATTTACAGCCCTGTCTCAGCCTCCCACAGGGCTGGGATTGCAGGCATGCACCACCATGCCTGGCTTATTTATGTCTCTATTGTTAGATGGGAGCATACTTAGAGATATGTACTCCTTTAAAAATCGTCTCTTCTTTCACAAGTTAGGGATTTCAAGATTTCTCCAGGATGTGTCCTGAAAGCTTGAGGTAGCTATTATCTTTCTGCTGCCCATGCTGACAGACTGCATGCTGGTGTCCTAAGACTTGCGCTGACATCATGGTGAAACTCCACAAGCCCCATTCTACTCATGAGTGGACAGAGCTTCTCACTTGTCTCAAGCTGGATCAAAGGGCTACGGGGCATGGCCCATGTAGAAAGCTAAGGGGACAGTCAAACTGTCGCCTAGGCAAGGGAGTAATGAATGTGCAGGTGCTCTGCAGGCTCCAGGAGCCATGTAAAAGAAAGGATGGCTGTTGTTCTGTGGAGGTCTGAGCATTAGTGGCACAACTTGAACACAGTTTGGTACTGCTGTCTTTCCATATCCTAAAGTACCTCAGCTTTTCTCTTTCCATCCCCGTCTGAAAGTTTGAGTTCTGCCCTTTAGCAGGGCATGGTTGCTAAGGGCAAGGAGATTTTAGCTGAAGACCATGATTTTGCTTTGTGCATAGAAATGTGTGAGTCACTTGCTGAGAAATAGTAACTACCACCTAAGCATTGACTATGATTCTAAGAAACAGCTGTAGAAAGATGTACGAGTTGTGGGGTATCCCCCTCTTTGTCCTTGCTGAGCCTTAGATTCACTTGTTGTAATCTCCAAAATCCATGAAATTTAGACTCCCATCTGCCTCTGCTCGTGCCCCATGCCTTCGGTTGTGCTAGAACCCACTCCCGCCTTGGCCTGCTCAGCCCTGTCCTCCACTGGGGATGCCACTAGCCTAGAAACAAAAAGTAATCATGGTTTCCTTTGTTCAGCTCTCAGTTTATTTGCGGGTCTAGAATACATACTTTACATGTATTACCGTCTACATTTGACAGATAAACTGAAGTTCAGACATCTATAGTCGTTACAAGAAGAGGTGAGATCAAATCTAGATCAAAACCCGCGCTGAGCCTCCACAGTTGGGCTCTTCCTGTTCGTTTCCCCTGCTCTTCAGTTCCTCCGTGGCTCTGCACTGCCCAGCTTCTCCGTGTTCGTGCCTGACACTTGCCTCCCCTTGCACAGTGTCTTCAGGTAGTCTCCCTTCACAGCATCGCAGTATACTTTTACATGTCAGAAGCCACCTTTGTAGGGTGCAGCCCCAGGCTTAAAACATAAAGCAAAAAACTCCAAAGATCCCACATGTACTTTCTTAAAATGGCAATTCTGCCTGTGGGGAGTGACATTTCCATCCAAACCCCCAATCCTGTTTTTAAGAAAGTAACTCGGAGGACATGTAGTCATGGAGCAAGACAGAGGGGCGCAGTCAGGGAAACGGGGAGGCTCACGCAGGGTGGGCTCTGGAGGCACTGCAGAGCGTTGGGTCCTCAGCCAGAGAGACCCAGGGGCTGTGCCCTGATACGGAGCGGGGACTTGTCACAGCAGCCAGAGATCTAAGCTGACTACCCAAAATGCCTGTCTATCCTGTAATGCGAGGAAAACTCTCCTGAAAAGACAGAGGGTCAGGGTTTCTGCCCTCGAGGTTGCATTTTTACCTGTGATCGGTTTCATTCCCTACTTTGCCAACTTGCAGTGCCACTTTCAAGCCTTTACGGGAGTGGGGGTGTATTGTGCCTGAAGTTAGTACGTTTTGTTTTGGGAGCTGCCTAAAGGTTTTGAGGTTTCTTTGCTACCTAGACGAAATGCCAAGGGTAGGGAGGCATAAGGGGAAGTTGGCAAGTCTTAAAAAGAATTTTTGAAACAAAGTGATGTAATTCAGATTCCTGCGTTTCTAGTATCTCTCAATTCTCTTAAAGACCTGAATAAAATTTGTTCCTTTATTGAGACATTTAGATACATTATTTGAACAAAGGAAACAAGGTCACTTCAAAATGTCCAGTATGTGGTAATCAATGCTGCCTGGCCTGTGGTGTAATTAATGGAAACCCTGGCGACAGTCTGCTCATTGTCCGTCCTTGTGCAACAGGAAGCGGCAGGGTAATAAGGAGCTGGAGGGTTACGTAATGCAGCAGGAAGCAGACCTGTGTGCCACTGTGACCTGTCGCTTTCTGTTTACAGGCCTGGGCTCACCTGAGCAGGTCTCTGTTCCTCATGGACATGGAGTTGTCAGATTTCATTCTGTCGATTGATTTTTTTTTTTTACATGATAGATTTTTATTTCACTTATGGACAGAAGTAGTGTCTTGAAAAACTTCATTTTAGATCATTTTTTATATAATGTATAGTTGTAATTGTGGGGTAAGGTAGAACTAACTATGGAAAAGGAGATGTCGCTTACAGATTCCCATTGCTTTGGACAGTGACAGTAAGGTGTGCTGGCCTTAGCAATGAGGAGTTCGGTACTGGCTGTGTCAGCACCATCTGAATGAATTCAGGCAACGTGCTTAGCTGCTACAGAGTCCAGCTTCGTCTGTAGCAAAGTGAGTTGGAATTGGAGAGCATCTCAGGACCATTGCAGCTCTAAAACTCCTTGTTCTAAGACCCCTTGGTGAGGTCAAGGATTGTAAAACACTTGTGTAAGGGAAATGTCAGAGTACAAAGTGTACAGTGGAAATGTCATTCATGTTTGTTTGCTGACAGTTTATTCTCTTTGGTCTCTTCTGTTTTTTTTAAATGTAGATGTTTATATTTGGCAGTGTGTTATTTCTTTTACTAAAAAAAAAAATGTCGGTGGTTAAATTAGAAACCAGAGGCTGAGAGTGGTGGCAAGTGCTGGAAGCACTTGAGAGGCTGAGGCAGGAGGACCCCTGTGAGTTCAGCCTGGCCTGCATAGCGAGTTCAAGGCCAGCCTGAACTATAAAGTGACTCCCTGTTTCAAAAAACAAAAAAGAAAAGAAACCAAAAAATTTTTTACTCCTTTTGAAAACATTGAAAATTGCCATTCAAATTCATCTATTAAATATTTTGGAAAGATATTGAATGCTTTGCTCAAAATTTACTCCATTTGAAAACATTGAAAATTGCCATTCAAATTCATCTATTAAATATTTTGGAAAGATGTTGAATGCTTTGCTCAAGGTTTATCCATGATGTAGCTTATGTCATTGTATATTTAACTGAAGTGGATTAACATTTAAGTTAACTAGCCACATAGAAAATATAGGTAGAGGGAAAGTGTGGATTTAAATCTTTATTTCACTGCTGGTCCTATCTTTATGGCCCTGGGCACATTTTGTCATCTGTAAAACCCCAATTCCTCATCTTCTCTAGTAAGAGAATATTTTCCTACAGTATTATTGTGAGGGATAAAAATAATACAAAGCACATACATAGTACAGTATCTGACCTTTAGTAGGTAATGGATAATAGTTGTAACTGCTGTACATTATTTTATTAATATTAATAAAAAATTAGGAAATCACAGGATACTGTACACTTCTAGGTTATCCTAATGTGATGTGCAGACATTACCACAAGAAATATTTTCATTTTTAAGGTTTCAATTTGTTTTTTGTTTTTGTTAGAGCAGGTGAACTGAGATTTGTTAAGGCAAGACTTCTCTTGTCTGATTTCCAGAGCAAAAGTATGTGAGGATGAATTGCAGAAATTTATTCTTAAAAGCTGCCATTGTAAAGTATTCAGAACTCTTGTCTTCAAAACTTTTGTGTTCAGGAACAAGGTGACTTCCTAGTGTCCACTGTGTGGTCAGTGGTGCCCTTCAGCCTGCCCAGTGTTGTCCACTATGCAAGAAAGAGGCAGCTAAAAGTCTCTCCTGGGGACTCACAGAGGTTTCTCTGTGGTAATGGTGTTCCTAGGATGACTAAATAAGGGTGAGAAAGACAGAGAGCACATCCTTGACCCGCAAGGCTTTGTTGCAGTGTAACACACCCTGACCTTCTATGATCTGGCTGGAAACCCGTGAGGGGTCAAGTGGTGAGGGTGTGGTAGAGCTAGAAGCCAGATGGGGGGCCAGGATGTGTCTAACTGTGCTTGAGAGCAGAGGATGTGGTGTTCTCTGAGGTGGAGACAGCTGATAGCAGGGAGCTGGAAGGAGTGACACGAGTGCCACATGTGGAGAGTGGAGGAAAATGTCTGGAGAAGGTTTCTCCAGTGAAAACCATGAAGTGCTAGCGGTATAAAGAGATAGACACCTTAATTAGCTTGGCTACAATCATCTTCTGTGTGGTGTGTGTACCTTAAATACATACAGTTTTTGTTTAAAATTTTTTTAAAAGAATGTGGCCCATAGGAGTCAGTTTAAAAACAAGGAAGTGAGGTTCTAGGAGGTGGCTGGGAGCGTAGGTCGTACTTCTCTTGAATTAGGTGATGCGTGGTGTTATGCGTGTAAAGGTCCAGGATTGGATCCACACCACCTTTTACCTGGACTATTTCTCTTGCAGACTCAGCGACCACCTTTCTTTATGGTTAAAAATGTTGTACCTGGTTCCAGCAGTTTGTTTAGAATGTCTAGGTCAGGATGACAAATAAGTTTTGTTATCCCTGTGAACTCTGGTCATTTGAAAATGGTCACCTGGGGTTCAGTGTCAGACAGCTTCTGGGTCCAGGTGAGATTTAAAGAGCAGCCCTGACTGGTAAGTGAGCTTGTCACGAGTATGGGGGAGGGAAACGAAGGTACTTTTTTCACTTATTTTTAAGTTTAGCTATAATTCTCACTTCATAATGCACCCTTTTACAGTGTACAATCAAGTGACTTTTTATATATTTTAGGAAGGTAGTATAGCTAACACCACTGTCTGGTTCCAGAACATTTTCATCACACCAAAGAGAAACCTGTCATTACCCACACTCATTCCCTTCTCCCCTGGGAACTATCCAACTGCTGTCTGTCTATAGATTTGCCTGTTTAGGGACTTTTATATAACATAATTCTGTTCATATAAACAAAATAATATAAAATGTGATCTGTCAGGTTCGGTTTCTTTGACTTAGCATAATGTCTTCAAGGTTTATCCACGATGTAGCTTATGTCAGTATCTCATTTTTTAAATGGCTAAATAGTTCATGTTAGGGATATACCATACCTTGTTTATCCTTTCATCAGGATTCAGCATTCAAAATGATGAACATTTTGGGTTATTTCCATTTTTTGCATGTGATAAATAAATGAGATCCCGTGAATGTGTGTGCACTGGTTTCTGTGTGCCTGCATTTTGGTTCTCTTGGATGTTTACCTGGGAATGAAATTGCTGGCCAGTGGTAACTCTCCATTTAACTTTCTGAGAAACTGCCTAGCTGTTCCTTAGAGTGCACTGTTGTATATGCCGAAGCAGAGCAGGAGAGTTCCAGTTTCTCCAGTTAGTTCCTCACTAACACTTGTTGCTGTCTGCCTTTTTATTTTCACCCTCCTAGTATCAGGCTATTGTCTCTGTGGTTTTGATGTTCCATTCCAAAATGACTAGTGATGTTGAAATCTTTTCATGTGCTTCTTGGCCATTTCCATACTTCTTTGGAGAAATGACTTGAGCTGTAACTGAAACTCCAGATTTTGCCCTCAGGATAGTACTGATTTGTGTAGTTATGCTAACTGCTTTGTAATCAGAGAACTGGCAGTTCTGAGTTTCAGAAACATGTGAGAAAGTTGTATATAGAAGCTTGACTATATAAATCATTGAAACAGTTTTTAAAAAAATTTCTGTACTTTAGAAACTTCTTAGTCAAGTACTGTGAAATACAAATATCCAAAGATATTTGGCCATCCAGTAGAATTTTTTATAATATACCCTTGCATTTTTATAGCTCAGTTTTGTTTTCAAGTCACTGTTGTGTATATGATCACATTTATAATCTTAGTAACACCACTGTGAGATATGATGAACAAATAAATGTTATTTTCAGTTTTAAAAACTAAACACTGAGACTTGGTTTGTGATTTGTTTAAGGTCGCACAACTAGTAAGATTTAAATTTAGGACTTCTGATCTCCATTGTTTCATGGTAATGAATTCCTACTAGTCGGTAGTTGCAGGGAAGGGGGAGCTTACATTGCTAAAAATAAGTAATATACCCAAGGTGTGGTCATAGTCAAGTTTGATTGGCTATGACTGATCATAAAGATTGTTACGTACCTCAGTTCATTATTTGGATGGCTATTATACAGGATGAATTGCCATTTTTTTCATTTAGCTCCTTTTGCTGGAAAATCCTTACAATAAAAGAACAGAATTATGTATCCCTGAGTGTTCATTATGTTTTGAGCACAGAATATCCATGCAAAGACAGAACAAAGCTGAAGGGTGGATTTGGAACCTTAAAAAGAGGACAGGCAGCCCTTTGTCTAGTGACCTTGACCCCTTCCTAGCCTTCTGTTCCCTACTTGTATGTTCCTAAATTGATCTCCTTGAGATACACAAATTTAAATGTAGAATGAGTGCAAAGTGAGCTATCTATTTAATATTTCTTTTGATCCATGATAAAGTTATTCAACTTGCTTGAATTATATAACTTAAAGTTTTATAATTTAGCCAGGCATGGTGGCACATACCTATAATCCAGCACTCAGGAGCCTGAGGCAGCCTGGGCTACAAAGTAAGCTCAAGGCTGAATTACATAGTAAGACCCTTTTTAAAAAAAAAAAGTTTTAGAATTTAGAAGATGTACAATACCTTGATGAAGAGCTGTTATGTCATATATACTTTCTAATTTAAAATTGTAAGCACCTTCAGCCCCATTTACTGAGGAGACGGAGGCAGGAGGATCACTTGGGCCCAGGAGTTTGAGGTCAGCATGGGCAGTACAGAAAGACGTTTCTACACATAGGGAGAGGCCTACTGGTATGGATCAGTGCCTTGGAACATTCACATTTGTCTGAGAACTAGGTCACAGTGTCGTCTTCCATATGACTTGGGCCCAGCACCAGAGCGTATTTTATCGGGAAATCGTATGTCACAAAATTGTTCGAAACAGTGTGCTTTTGCTGGAGAAGAGACAATCTATTAACATGCTTGTGTTTGCTTTCAAAATATTTTTAAAAAGTGTACTCAGGTGCACTTACGTACTTGCTATTTTTACTGTGTTGAGTAGCACGAATTAGTGATGGTAACAGTCATCCATTCTCACAGCTGAGCACGCAGATCAAAAAGACCCAGGGTGGCCCTGTGTTCAATCCTTGGCCCTGAAAAGAGAAAATAAAAAAGATAAGGAAGGAGTTGTAGATAAAGGATGGTTTCAGTCATTTCCCAGTATGAGATGATTCTGGCAGGAAACGGATGAGTAATGTAGCTCTGTTGCGCGATGTTCAGGAGCAGTTTAGAACAGAACTGAAGGATGCGGGTGGAAAACACAATGGTAGACTGTCATCTGGTGATTGTGAAAGTCTTGGCGGTAGTTACTGTAACAGAGATGAGGCATATATAAGCTCCACCTCTACAACAGAGACACATTGTGTCTGTGTGGGTGCCTCAAAGCCTCATCACTTTCCTACCCATATTTCTTTACATCTCTTGCCTTGTGTTCCCATTCTTCATGTAAAAGAAATTTCTAGGCACAGTTTCTGTTTCAGGTCACGTATTTTACAATTTATGAAGCCCCCCCAACCCCCCACTGAGGCTGTTTTGCACATGTTATCTCACTTCATCCTTGTATCAGTCCCATCAAGTAGGTGCTGTCATTATCTACAGTTTAGGGATAAAGATGCTGAGGCTCAGAGGTTAAAGACCTAATTCAAGGTGATAAGCAAGATTTGGACCCATCTCTATGTGATGCCACTGCTTTCTGTCTCCAAGCTGTGTATATTTGGCCATAGCACCAGCATGGCTTCTTAGCCTCCCATTAATTGTTTGTCTTATTGATTCTGTAGGGCCGAGGATATAGCTCAGGGGGACAGTCATGAGTTCAATTCCTGGTACCAAAACAAGATTTTAGGGCTTAAGGTCAGTTTCATTCAGTTTGATTCTGTAGAAGCTTCCACTCCCAGCCCTGAGACTGGAGCTCTGCGATGCCCTCAGATGTCCACACTTCACCACGGTGAAGGCCCTGGCCTGGCTGTGGAGGTGACCCATGGAGAGTTTAAGTCAGTGGGTCTGAGAGCATCCGGGTCCTGTCCGGTCACCACAGCGCAGCGCAGCCAGGGAAGGTTGCTGTGAGACGGCCTTGTGCAACTGGATGTGTGGTTTCCAGTGTGTGAATAGCCATTCCTCACTTGGCGGCAGCAACCATCCAGAGACAACAGAGAAGATTCAGGACGAACTCCATCCTGAGCTGGAAGTCCCAGAGTCCCTCTGGGTGACTGAACAGAACTAACTTTCCTTCCATGCTGTCGGGGCTTCAGCAAGGCTTCTGTCAGCACAGCTGTCTGGTTGGCATCTGGCTACTCTTCTTCCTTCTCTAGAGCCTGGCTTCCTGCAGTGTGGAGGGCACAGTCATCACCCTGTTGAGCTCTTAGCACCTCCCTGGCACCTTTGTCCCAGGTGGTGTCTCTGGGCCCTGCACCACCCCCACAGGCTCATCACTGGCCCATTCTGCTTTGCTTTTTAAAATAAAGTTAGCTGATGTTCAGCTCAGCTGCTGGAGCACACTTCCTGGAGGTGATCTTAGTTCTTTTAGCAATCTCACAAGCTGGCTTCTTTTCCCGTAGGAATACAGTAATTCAGAAGTGTTTTCAGGAGACAGAAGCCCTGAGACAGTTCTTTTGAAGATTCCAAATTTGGGTTCTTTTCTTCTCAAAAATTAAAAGTTTTAATTTTTTAAAAAAACTTTTAAGTGCCCTGTTGTGCCATCTGCAAGTAGACTGCAAATATTTCTAAGGTACTGTGAGAAATTTCAGTACATGTATATAATAAGCCATCAGACATCATAATTGTCATCTATCAATGCATTTGTCATATTTTTGTGTTGGAAACATGCAAAATATTCTTTATGAGCTGTTTTGAAATATAAAATTAGTTGTTGTTAGCCATAGATCTTCTGCTGTGCTCCAGAATCGGAAGTGATTCCTGTCGAGCTGCACCCCCGAGGGACCCGTTGACCAGTGCCTCTCCTCACTGCTCCAGCCCGCACGCTTCCAGTCTCTGCTAGCCACTATTCTACGTCCTGCTTTTATTATTATTATTACTATTATTTTTGGTACTGGGAATCGAACTCGGGACCTTGCACTTGCTAGGCAGGCGCTTATGCTGCTAAGCTGTATCCCTAGCCCCTATATGTTCTGCTTCTGTAAGAGGCAGCTTTTTAAGTTTTATGCAATATGAGTTAGATCATACAGTATTTCTCTTGGTTGTGCCTACATTATTTTACTTAACAGTGTCTCACAGGCTCATCCATGTTGCCACAAAGACAGTTTCATCTTTATGGTTTCATGATATGCCACATTTTCTGTATCTGTTCATCCATTGTTAGAGCATGATCTCGTATCTTAGCTGTTAGGAACAGTGCTGCAATAAAAGGAGTGAAGGTATCTTTTCAGCATACTGGTTTCCTTTCCTTTGGATATATACCCAAGTGTGGGCTTGCTGGATTATATGGTAGGTCTATTTTTAGTTTGTTGGGGAACTTCAACACTTTTCCACTATAGCTGTACTAATGTACATTCCCACAAACAGTATACGAGCATTCCCATTTCCCCACATCCGTGCCAGCATTTATTTTTTGGTCTTTCTGATAACAGCCATTGTAACGTGATCTGACACCTCATTGTGGTTTGTATTTTAGTGCATTGGTGATGAGTGATGTTGAGCATTTTTTTCATAAACTTCTTGGCTGTTTGTTTATCTTCTTTTGAGAAATGTCTGTTCAGGTCATTGATCCATTTGTAAATTTGACTTTGCTGTTGAGTTCCATATATGTTCTGAATGTTAATTTGGATGAATAGTTTATATTTCCCCCTATTCTGTAGGTTGCTGCTTTATTCTGTTGATTGTTTCCTTTGTGGTACAGAAGTCTTTTAGGTTGATGCTATCCATTTTGTCAGTTTTTCATTGCCAGTGATTTTAGGATCATATCCAGAAAATCTGTACCAGACCAATGTCCTGAAGTGTTTTCTTCTAGTAATTTCATAGTTTTAAGAATGTCTTTGATTAATTTGAATTGATTTTGTATACTTTATAGGGATCTAGTGTTCTTTCTTCTGAAAATGGATATCCAGCTTTCCTAGCATGATTTATTAAAAGGATGGTATCTAAAGTATGCTCTTGGTACCTTGGTCAAAAATCCATTGGCTATAAATACATGGGTTTATTTCTGGGTTTTCTATTCTGTATCAGTGGTCTGTGTATCTGTGTTTATGAAAGTACCTTGTGGTTTTGTTTACTGTAGTTTTCAGTATATTTGAAGTCAGGTATTATGACACCTCCAGGTTCGTTCTTTTTGCCAAGATGCTTTGGCTGTTCAGCATCTTTTGTGATTCTATAAGAATTTTTCTTTTTCTGTTTCTGTAAGACTATCATTTCCATAGAGATACCTGGGGTGCTGTCTTAATATTGAATTATAAATGTTCTGTGTATTCTGGATGTAAGTCTGCTTAAGTGTATGTATATATTTTTATGAATATATTCTTAGTCTGTGGCTTATTTTCTTAAGGGTGTCTTACAATGAGAACTTTTAAATTTGAAAGAACTTTTTTTTTTGGCACCAGGAATCAAACTCAGGACCTTGCGCTTGCCAGGCAGAATTTAAAACAACTTAACCAGTTTTTTTCTTTTATGTTTAATGCTTCATTTTTGATTAGTATATGATACATTACATAATGATTACACTCCTTGTGGGAGAGTACATGTACATAACACATTGCAGTCAGGGTTTACAAGGGAATAGATTTAGTATAGGACATATAATTTATAGGATTATTTTAAAATATTCACCCAACGAGTCAAATGCAGAAGAGGACAGGCAATCTGTCCACACAGTAGAGACCCAAAGAATCCAGCTGAGGGCCTAGATCTCATAGCAATGTCCTCCATAAGTCCAGCTGAAGAGATAGAGCGCATGGCAATGTCTTCTGCGACTCCATCTGGAGGCCTTGAGCCCATAACAATGCCTCATGCAAGTCTATATCAAACATCTGCCCTGGGAAAGCCAAAAGGCCAGCGGTGGAAGCTAGAAAGTCTGCGCCAGCAGGATGAAGGATCTGTGCCAGCAGGCTGAGGGATCTGCCCTGGAGCCAGGAAGTGACACTCAAAGTAAGGATGAGAGCCCCCTCAAAAAGAACTGCAGCGATCCTCAGTGACAGCGAGGTCCTGAGCCCCTCCAGTGATGAAAACAGCTGACCATATCAGGAAAACCAGCACAACAAGCTTCTCCAGGAGAATCTACAGCACACCACCTTCCTCTCCAGTTCTTTTATGCTGTTGGCAGTAATCCTCTGAGGGGTCTTCCACATCCAAAACCGTGCTGATTCAGTTCAGCTGGGTGTTACAAGTTGACCATTAGTTAATTCACCACACTCGTCTTGATTCTTTTTTCATCTTCTTTCCTTCTCTCCTCCTCCCTCCATCTCTTGATCTTCCTATTTTAAAAAGGCCTATCTCCTTACTTCCTATTATCTTTTACTTTCTTCCTTATTTATCTTTGGGGTTCTCATATAAGAGAAATTCATATTTAGCTTATGTATCTTGATTTATTTCATTTAACATTACAGTCTAAAGGTGCATCCTTTTCCTACAAATGGCTCAAGTTTATCCTTCCTTATGATAGGGTCATACTCCATTGTGTACAAATACCATATTTTCTTTATCCATTCATCTGTTGAAGGACATATAGACTGCTTCCAAGATTTAGCTACATAAATTGTGCTGCTGTCAACATGGGTATTCATACCTAGAAGGGGAGTATGGGTCAAATGGAATTACTAGTTTAAGTTTTTTGAGAAATCTTCATACTGATTTCCAAAGTGATTGTAATAGTTTACATTTTCACCAAGAATGTGGAAGGGTTCCTTTCCCCTCTGCAGCCTCACCACAATGATTTATTGATTTTTTTTGATGGTACCTATTCTGTCTAGAGTAAGGTGGAATCTCAGTGTTGTTTTAATTTGCATTTCTTTTATGACCAGTGATGTTCAAGATTTTTTCATGTACTTATTGGTCACTTGTACTTCTTCTAAGAAGTGTCTGTTTCGTTTGCCCATTTTTTGATTGGTTCTTTTATTTGGGGGGAGTCTTTTTTTTTTTTAGTCCTTTATATATACTAGATATTAGTCGTCTATGTAAAGAATAGCTGGCAAGTTTTTTTGCCATTCTGTAGGTTATCTCTTTACTCTTGTTAGTTGCTGTGCAGAAGCTTTTTAATCTGATAGGATGGTTAGTGCTTTTTGAATGTAAGAAATCTCTGCCTGTCTCGGTATCATAGATTTTTTTCTTACGTTTTCTTTTAGTTTTAAACCTTCCTTTAGCTTCTGCATTTAAGTCAGTGGTCCATTTCATGTTAATTTTGTATTAATGCATATAATTATAGAGATACTGGGTTTCATTGACTTTTTCTTATATGTATCTAACGTACTTTCATCATATCTATTCCCCTGTTGTTGTGCTGTGCAGTTTAGGGGTCTCGTTTCTTTTTTGTCCCATATTAGTATGTAGTTACCCTAGCCAAAATTGTTGAAATTTTTTCTTTTTCCTATTATCTTGAAATCTTTATAACCAATTAAATCAATTGACTATATGTTTTAGATCTGTTTTTACTGTGTTCAGTGTCATTAATCTATAAGTCTCTATGCCAATACCACATTACCATGATTATTGTAACTATAATAATTCTTGAAATCAAGTACTACATGTCTTCAAATTGTTCTTTTTCAGAATCCTTTGGGATATTCTATGTATATAGAATCAGCTTATCAAGTTCTATAACAAGTGTCTTTTTAGAGTTCTTATTCAGGTTGTAGTTGGCTGTATTGATCAATTTGGAGGAATTGACATCTTCACAGTATTGGATCTTCCTGTCTGTGATCATGGTACACTTTTCATTTTTTTGAGCTCTTTAATTTTTCACAGCAATGTTTTATAAGCCTTGTACATATTTTGTTATGTATTGTCAAATTACTTCATATTATTGATACAACTGTAAACTGTACTTTATTCCATTTTTCAGTTGTTCGTTGCTATATATGCAAAATATAATTTTTTATATTCACCGTATATCTTGCAAGTTCCTTAAATTCACTTGACAGTTTCATTAGTTGGGGTAGTTTCCTTAAGATTTTTAAGTACATTATCCCATTATCTGCAAATAGACTGTTAACTATTTCTTTCCAGTTTCTGTGTCTTTTATTTCTTTTTATTGATCCGTTACTCTGGCTACGACCTCTATGACAGCACTGAGTAGAAGTAGTGAAAACTGACACTCTTGGTTTTTTGTGATCTTGGGGAGCAAGGTGCCTTTCACTAGTGGCTATGATGTTAACTATAGATACCTTTTATCAGGTTAAGAAAGTTTGCTTGCTAAAATTTTTCAAAATGAATGCATATTGAATTTGTCAGATGCTTTTTCTTCATCTACTGTAATACACAACTAGTAACTTTTTTTCTGTTGAAATGATAAATTTCTTAGATTTTCAGAGGCTGAAAAAGCTTAACTCCTTAAGATAACATCACTGTCCCAGTGCTGTCTCCCTTTTGTATATTCCTGGGTTTGACTTGCTTTGTTGATTAAAGAGATGGGCAAATAGATCCACACCATCCATTTGAGGCCTTGGTGCTAAGTTTGAGCAGATTCTATAGATACCAAATACCTTAGGGAAGCCTACCGTTATACCCAAAGTAATCTTTCTTTAAAAACCTGTCCTTTGAAATATACTGCCCCCAGAGATGGCACATGAATATATAGGGTAAGGTTTAAAGTGTAAACCATGAATTTCTTGAAGGCAGGGGTTTTATCTCACTCCTTTAACTAGTGTTACAGAGACCCCCAAATTACAGTGCCTTATACAAAATGAAAGTTTATTCTTCACTGTCAGACCTAGCTTTGTTTTTACCCACAGAGTCCTCAGGGACCCGGGCTCCTAACTCACTGCACTGCCAGCCCAAGGTCTACAGAGACCGTATCCACATTCCAGCAGCGGCATGCTGGAGGAAGGGACCAAGAGGACAAGCAGCGCAGAACGTGTGCCAGCCAGCTCTGCAGGAGGGCGCCAGAAGCTGCCGTGAGAGTCCCGCACACGCATTGCCCAGAACTCAGTCATGTGGTCACACCAGTATGAGGCTTTTGAGGCAGGCGTTGGTTGTGCAGAGTAAACAGTTTTTCACTGTTTATTGGAAAATCAAATACTTTGTTTATTTAATTTTTTCAAGTTCCTGAACAAAGTTATTTGCAACTTTTTTCTCTCTGGGGCTGCCCAAGTTTCCTGGAATATTAAAGTCTTGTTAACAAAGCCAGTGAAAAGAAAAGGTCTTGTGAATGTACACAGTAAGCTGTGGGGGTGTGAATAGCTTTGGTTCCTAGTATCCGCGTCCTTAGGACCTAGCATTCAGACACAGCACGTGATAAAACAAATAAATGCCTGCTGACTAGTTACGTATTTATTTAATAGGTGCTTACTCCGCTAGGCAGTGTAGTAAGTGATCTACATGCATTGTCTCAGTCCTCAGAACCGTCCTGAGGTAGCCACTGCTGTTAGCCCTACCACTTTACAGATGAGGGAATAGAGGCTTAGATAACTTTTCATTTATTTGACAGGTATTTTTGTGGACCTCCCATTTGGTAGGTACTGAAGATAGAGCAGAGTTTAAAACACTGAAATCTTTGCCCCAGTAGAATCTGCATTGACCAAATTACATAGATACTTGCTAGCAGATGGCACTTAAGCCTCAGTAGTCAGACATAGCACCTGTAATCTCAGCCAGTGCTGATGAGGGGATTGATGGGAGTGATGAGCAAAAATTTAACTGGTCTGTTCCACAGAGAGCCTCACGGCTACCCTTCACCTACAGTATAGATCAGTGAGGGCAGACCTGTGGCACGCATACCACAGTGGGCTGTTGGCATCACTGAAAGCTCTGAAAGGTTCGCCATCACTGGCAGAGATGATTAGATTGCCCTGTCTTGAGCTGTACAGTTACCTTGTGAACAACAAAGGAGTGTTCAGTGAGGGGACTTTAAATGACCCCATAATATGTCTTCATCAAGAAGACTATAGTTAGTCTTCCATGCTTCCCCGTGATTCTGGGGGAAATGGCCATGTGCATGTTCATGTGGGAGACAAGCTCATCTTTGTCTGTCACCCTGTGCAGAGTTTGCAAACAAAATTTTGCCAAACACTTCTCTTTGCAAACAAAATTGTTCACAAACAAAACTATTTGTGAGCCGAGGCACCACTGTATATGTGCTATCCGGTTAGAATCTGTGCCAAAACTAGAAATAAGAAAGGCAAAAAAGGATGTACTGTCAAAATGGAGAGTTCAGAATTGCACTGGATAGTGGCTGACTGCCTGAAGTGACAGCAGAGTGTTAGAAAGTGCGTGCCTGGAGTTCAGGGAGCGAGGATAGGGATTATGGATCAAAGACGATGTTGCCTTGAGAACAAAAGGCAAGGATCATAGCTTGGCATCACCACTTTATTATTATTATTGATTTTACTATTGCTTGCACCAAATTGTGAGTTTCTTCGCAATGAAAGATGGGGAAAAATTTAGAAAGTGCTGAGTCTGCCGTCATGTGACTTAGCATTGTCCAGTGCCGTGCCCACACCGCCTGTTGTCTCACACACCGCCAGTGGTCCGTGTCTCTCGCTCAGGAAGTACACATGAAAGGAAGATGCCAGATTTAGGAGATCTGGGTTCTGGCCTTGGTTCTGTCACTGTGAGACCTGGGAGGTGTCTCAGTCTTTCCTCTTCTGTGGCAGTTATTTCCTGTGAACTCTGACCGAATTGACTCTTGAAAGACATGACATAAGCGTGTGTGAACAGCATGTTTGGACTCGTGTGCTCACCTGTACATGGAACTTAAGTGGCTTTGGACACAGCTCTGGGTGGATTCAACATGGGCTTGAGCCGGGAGTGGAAGTGGGCACGGAGGCATGTGCCACGGGAACGAAAACACCTCGTGAGGGTGGTGGTGAGAACTGATGAGGGCTGTCCGAGGTCGGTGACTTACTTGCCAGCGACGTCAGACGTGCTGAGCTACGCTGGAGCCTCGGGGCCCCTTTCACACACACTCAGGCACCTGTCTCCACTGGTGGAGTTGCGGAGTGGAGGCGGGTGTGATACCCTGAGAAGGATCGGGGTTTTGGAGCAGGCATTTCAGGGCGCCGTGCTAGTTCCTGAGGGCGTCCAGCTGGCCTCTGAGCCACTGTCCCACAGAAGGTGCTGCGTGTCTGGGTGGGCCAGAAGGCTCGGTGGTGCGCTTCAAGCTCTGTGCCTGCCCACTCACTGCTCCCCGGGCCCGGGGGACTGGCGAGGGCTGCAGAGAACCTCGGAACGTCCACATCTGCTGCCTCTTTCGGATTCCTGTTCCAGATGTTTTGTGTTTCCTTCCCCCTCCCACTAGCTGCCATGTCTGTCACAGGGCATTTCAGAGCAAGAGGGAGAAGAAATTAGCACAGAGGTGGCCCCATCACCTCCCCTGCTTCCCACCCCAGTAAGAAAATAGAACTGATGATTTTTTCCCGGACCTGGCTTAGGTCTCCTGCCCTGCTTCTGATTTTATGGCCCGGTCTTCCACGGCTGCTCTGTGGTGAGATGAGTAAACACCGGGAGCTGTGAGGGGAGGGCGGCTGGAATAGGTGACTGAAGGAGGTTGCAGTTGCCCTCACAGTTGCCGTAGAAGTGGTTCTTCCTGGTTGAGCAGGAAACCAGGGGAAGGGTCTCGGCAGCAGCAGTGGCAGGAGCAAAAGGCAGGAGGCCTGTCCCTGTTCTGCACAGGTTATGGGTTGGTTCAGTGAGGGGAAAGGCACGTGAAGTGGTCCTCACAGCTGTCCACAGTGGTGTGGTCTCCTGTGGGCCGTGGCTGCAGCCGGCTGGGCGATGTGTTTGGCCCTGGCAGGGAGTGGCCCGTCCCTTCTGCTGTCCCATGCGGTCCCACACTGCCGTAGCCGTTCAGGGACGAAAGAGGGAAGCAAAAAGGAAAATTTGTATGAAGCGGGTGGGGTGTAGGGTGCAGAGGTCCTGGGTTCTGTCTGCAGGAGCAGGGAGGGAGGGAGTGCACAGGGCTGGCGCGGCCGCGGGGGAGTGAGGGAGCGGGGTGACTGGAGCCCTGCGTGTTCCTGCACGGGCCTGTGGCTTTGTAAACCCTGCACACTTAGGCTGCACTGCGTTTATAAGAATGTTTTCTTCAATAAATTAACTTTAGTGTACTCTAACATTTTTACTCATTTTTTAAGTTTGTTTTTGCAGTTCTAGGGATCAAACCCAGGGGTACTGTACACTGAGCTACATCCCCAGCCCTTTCTGTTTTTTATTTTGAGCCAAGGTCTCATGATTAAGTTACCCAAGCGGGCCCCAAGCCTTCTGTGTAACTGGGGTTATGGACGTGGGCCACCGTGAATCGGCAGCTTCTAAACTTATTGAAAAGTCTTTTGACTCTTAACACTGAGCTTAAAACAAATAATATTGTACGGCTGTACAAAAATTTTTCTTTATATCCTTATTCTACAAGCTTTCTACAGTTTTTAAATTTTCTTGTTTTTTAATTTTTAAGGTTTTTTGCTCAAAAGTTAGAGGGCTGGAATTGCAGTCATTGGTAGATAACTTGCCCAGCATGCGTGAGGCCTGGCTTCCATCCCAGGACCTCCAGAAAGGTCACTGGCACACTATGTCAGCCTAGGCCTGCATGGGGTCAGGAGGGCCAGTGTCACCACCTTCCACCTGCACATCCTGTCCCACTGGAAGGTCTTCAGGGGCAGTGCCACACGTGGAGCTGTCATCCCCTATAACAGTGTCTTCTGGAATCCCTCCTGAGGGATTGCCCGAGGCTCTTTCCAGTTCAGTTTTTTTTTTAAATAAGTAGAAGTACATTCTAAAATAACAGTAGAGAATAAATAGTACTATATAGTAAATGCTCCAGACAGTAATGTGGCGGTTTATCATCACCAAGTATTATGTCCTGTATGTAGCTGTCAGTGCTGCGCCTTGGGACGGCCCCAGTGCAGTGGTGTGTGTGCACCGTTGTCTCCATGGACACGAGTAGTGTGCTGTGCTGCCCCGCCCATGCCGCATCATCACGAGGAGAAGGGGATTTTTCAGCTCCTAGGTATAGGGCATGGTGTGCCTGCAGCCTTGCACTGGCTGAAATGCTGTTGCGGGTACACCCTGGTTCCCTGTGCGCCCGTGGGTGAGGCCTTGTGAGGCAGAAAGGACCACTCCTGTAACAAAGCCGGGTTCGGATCCTGTTCTTTCTGACCTTCTGACCCGCTGAAGCCCAGGATGCTTTCATGTGTGGATCTCTGGGTCTCATCAGGGTGTAAATAGCTCCAGCTCTCGAGCACAGACCTGAGGATGGCCCTTTATCCTCCCCAGAGCGTTTTCGGAATGCAGCAGTCTTGGTTTTGTTTTTTTGTTTGGTTGGGGTTGTTTGTTTTTCTGTTTACTGCGCGTCTGTAATGCAGAATAGTGATGCATGTTTGGGGGACTGGCAGGTGCGTGTAACACCTTGATCATTTCCAATCCCTTTGCTCCCCTCCCCGGGGTTCCCTCAGGAAGGCTGCTCACCCCTCCCACTTCCTGTAAGAACTAGGCAGCTTCCGCTTGACGTTTGGGACTGTACCTCCTGCTGGACACCTGGCCTTGCGAGGACTTGGATAAGTGTAATGTTTTTACTTTTTTTTTTTTTTTTTGCCTTCTGCAGATGGATCTGTCTGTAGAAACCCTCTTTAGCTTCATGCAGGAGCGCCAGAAAAGGTACGCCAAATACGCAGAGCAGATCCAGAAAGTCAATGAGATGTCAGCCATCTTGCGCCGCATCCAGATGGGCATCGACCAGACGGTGCCGCTGATGGAGCGGCTCAACAGCCTGCTGCCCGAGGCCGAGCGCCTCGAGCCCTTCAGCATGAAGCCCGAGCGCGAGCTCCGGCTGTAGCGCCAGCCGCACTGCCCTGCTGAGGCCGAGGCGCTGGCGTGGAGGGCGCCAAGCCGACCCGGAGTCAGAGTGCGCCCGAAGCTGGCAGAGGAGCGGGCCCTCCCTGCAGGCCCAGAAGCCGCAGCCACATAGGCGCCTGGCTCTGCTGCCTCCCTGCGCCCGGACCATGGGCACAGCGAGCCGAACTAGTCTCGTCGATGACCGCAACTGGACCTCGGAACCCTGCATGGACAGTTTTCTTTATTTTGCTCATGTGTTTTTAATTGAGTGTGTGTATCGTCTTAGGGGCGAGAGTGAAATGTGGACAAAAGGGAGAAAATTTTAATAGCTGTGTGTCCTGGTGCTCTTGTGAAAGTTTACTCAGGCCCCCTGGGTTATGAGTTGTAAACATAAAAAACTAACATAACCCAGGTCTGTGCACTGTTACTCTTCCCACCTCCGCTGTCTCCGCCACATCCAGGCCTTGCCTGGGCATCCTCCTCCCGTCCTGTCCTGGAGCGACACTGCGGTGTGAGCCGCCGGGTTCCGGTGTCCCTCCTAAGTCACCAGCAGAAACGGAAGACACTCTCTGCGCCCTCGAGGTCACCGGTCAGCCCGTTGATAACCGGTTTCCTCGGTGCAGAGACTCCAGGGTGTGTGACCAGGCTTGAGCCCACACGTGGTGTCACCAGGCCAGCCAGTGAGTGGGGCACTGCATTGGCACCATTCCTCGGTCTTTAGGGACCCGCTGACACTCAAGTGCATGCAGGCTCGGTGCCGGCATAGCCGAGGCAGGGTGGTCTCTCATTTCAGAAGAGAAACAAAACGCAAAGTGCTGTTGAACTTCTGTGGAAGCTTGGCAAGTACAGCGGGTTGACACCCAGAGCGCTCAGTTCAGTGCTGGGAAGGCCACTGCTGCTGTCATAGAGCAGCTGAGGCGGGAGAGAGCTGCCTTGGGAAGCTGCAGGGATGGGATAGATGAGGCCTCTGCCCTGCTACTTAGGCCTGGCAGGTGTCTCAGAAATCACTTTGGCGTATCTGTAGCTCAGCTAAACTTTGTGATTCTAATCAGATACTACCCTGTAAGGTTCCTGGAACCCAGAATGATATGTACGACAGAAAATGGGTTGACAGAATAAGCATGAACCAAGTGTGGTGGTGCAAGCCAGTCCCAGCACTCGGGGGGCGGAGGCACGACAGTCACCAGGAGTTCAAGGCCAGCCTGGACTGCATAGCGAGACCCTGTCTCAAAACAAAACAAAAAGAATAAGCATCAGTGTTCAGACTATATGGGAAAAACTTTTAATTCAGGCATACATAGGACAAAATTAATAGCTTTTCTAGTATTTTCTTTTCCTTTCTTCCTCCTCCTTTCTCCCTCCCTCCTTTCCTTTTCTTCCCTTCCTTCCTTTTCTTTTTGCAGCACTTAGTTAAACCCAGGACCTTCGCACAGTCACAATTCTCTTTCTTTGAGACAGGACCGCACTAAATTGTCCAGACTGGACACAAACTTGCAGTCTTCCTGCCTCAGCTTCCTAGAATGCTGGGATTACAGGCATGCCTGCATAGCTTCTTGTAGTTTCTAATGACCAAAAGTAAAAACCAAGGTAGTTCATTTCCTTTGAACTAGAAAAACAAGTTAGAAACTTGAGCTGAGGAAAGAGGCCCAAGGAAGCATCTGCAGCGGCCATCTTTAGATCCTTCTGCTTTCCTGGGATCTGATGCCTTCCCTTCCCCACAGGAAGGCAGGAGCTGTCTGGCTGAGGAGGTGAAGGAGGTTGGCATCTTGCAAAAGAATTGGAGCAGGGAGCTGGAAGTGGGGAGCTGTTCCTCCGTTAGCCCACTGGTGAAAGCAGCTCATACTTAAATTCTTGCTGGTGGTCAGAATTTTACGGGGTCCTTTAATCGTTTCTTGAACAATTCATTAGAAGGGACTAATCAAGAAAGGTGCTGTGTAACTTAGAAACCTGTGAAATAGCCAAGGTTACCCTAGAAAATGTTGCGGGAGGGAGCAGGGATGTCCACTCTTACTAAATGACACATTTTCCCTCTAGTGATCTGCAGTATCTGATCATGTATGTGAGGGTCTAGTGCAGACTGTATTCTAATCTATTGATCCTTTCCTACTGCTTCATGCTGTTGCTTTTGTGCTGCTTTACTAATCTGACAATACTATATATTTCAGTATTTGAAATGGCTAGATTAGATCTCTCTGAATTTATTTTTAATTCCCAACCAGCACAGACTGAATGACGATAACGAAAACTCTCATTTCCTTCATTTAGTCTGATAGGTGGGTTTCTGGTTTTGTTTTTTGCCTTTTTAAAAATATTTTGAGACAGGGTCTTGCTAAGTTGCCCAGGTTGGGCTTGAATTTGCCGTCCCTCTTGCCTCAGCCTCCCAGAGTACTGGGATTACAGGTAAGTACCACTGAGCCTGGCCAAGAAGTGGCATTTTAAAGCTATCACCGTCACTGTGTTGTTTTGAGTTTAGTGTTTAGAACCCAGCTCTGACCAGAAGAACACCCTGTGGCCTTCTAAGTGGAAACTGCCGATTGTCTACAGAGCTGGAAAAACCATGATTCTCTCTGCACTCGGTGGTGTCACAGACGAAATCACAAACTGTGATGCAGAGGACGCGTGTGAGTGGGCCTTCCTCACGGTTTGCACTTTGTGGTTTGCCCAGGCAGCAAGGCAGGCACAGCCTGCCATGGACAAACTGAGCCAGTCAGCTCCTTTTCTTACAAAACATGGTATTAAGATTTGGGTCCTAAGCAGATGGCTAGATGGTGGTAGTCTGCTTATCACTGGGTGGAAGCGGAGAAGAACAAAAGCCGAATCAGTATTTTGTAAGAGTGCATGTTAATCTGCATGGTGTGTGGTGGTTTTGCAGTGTTGCCATCTTGGCGAAGGGGAACTTTCCCACAAATCCATTTTGCATTTCTCTCCAGTCATCGTGGACGGGAGGAGAGTAGCAGCCATGCCAGTCAGGCCCTGCACCATCCCGTGGGTATTTTCTGAGCTCTGCTGCCCCTTGGTATGGGCAGTGGCGGGACCCAGCCTCTCCAGCTGCCCCAGAACCGTGCCTTCAGTGTCTGTAAGAGGCCGCCATGGGTTCTGGTGAGAGAGCCGAACACTGGGTTCTGGTAAAGACAGGCGCAGGTCTCAGCTGTCCTTGCTGTCCTCCCCTGAGCACCCACTCACCTTCCCGCCCCGCCACCTGCCAGTGTCACCAGCTCCCGTCGCTGCTGCTCGGTGGGTCCCTCAGACACACCATGCACACGCTCTGCACCATTCCTCGCAGATCTGATGGAGCCCTGGGTAGTGAATGTGGCACCACCAGCCCTTTCCCTCTTCCTTGTCTTACTTTTTGCCAGTGAATCCTGAGAATCACGACTGCCACTGGAGGAGACATGTATGATAGATCGCGTTCTTGGTTAATTCTGGATGACTTACCTGGCTGCAGTAGGAGGTCTCCGGGATGTGGAAGTCCAGCCTTCATCCCCGGTGAGCCGTTTCCTTTCCCTAAGCCTCAGAGCCTTGATTGGATCTTCAGTGCACTTCAGAGGCCCATGGTGCTATCGGAATGTAGCAGGCAGGGCCCAGTGGAAGGGAGCTGGGTCCTCTCCAAGGGGAGATGGACCGTGGCCCTGCCCCAGCTGCCACAAAGGCGCTGGATTTCTCTGCCACGCACTGTCACCAAGATGTTTGCAGGGTCCTCATGCTAGTAGAATATCTGACAGAACTTACGGGTGACCCAAATAATTTTTCTTTACTAATCAAGGTTCATTCCTTGAGGCATGATTTATGCTAAGCTTGTGAACCAGCTACTTTTAATTCAGTCTTTGAAACTGTCATAGTTACCTGACCAGAGGCAGCCCAGACCATAGCTGAGCTAACGCTCTCCAACTCATGCTGTTCACCCAGGACACTGCTTCAAGGCCATATTTTGCATTTTACCTGGGACAGTATTTTTTAGAAACTGATTCTGATGTTTTATCTAGCACCAAAACAAACATTTTACATAAACATAAACTGCAACAATGTGACTGATTTATAAATATCTTTTATGATGGTGTTAATTTTTTCAGTTAATTTCACAACACTTTAAAGATAAAAACAAGTATGATACTGTTCTACAAATATGAATGATCCTCTCAGAATGCTAGAAATCACTTACCTGCATTTTCCTTTTATAGATGTAGGAGAGTAATGAAGTGCCTAGGCAAGCATTATTTACTAGACCTAAAACACTCCTGCCTAGTGTTAGAAGAAAAAAAATTAGACGAGTATTTAAAGTAACAGTGACCGCTTTGGGGCTAAAAAGTTTCCATGAACTAGTTCCGGTACGTGCACTCGTACCATTCACATCGTCTCTGGACACTCAGGGCTCACTTTAATTTTGCCACTTTAATTTTTCACATCTCTGAAACCTACACTTCCTAGTTTCCCCCTTCATTAAGCTTTTGTTTAATTTTAGCGTCAGATCCAAATGAGTCTCTGGGAGGCTCCAGCTGGCTGCACAGCGCGCTTGGCCTTCAGGCCTTCCCACGATCTAACCTTGTTGTCCTGACTCTCCTGCTCCGTCCACCACCTTCCCTCTGCGGAGCCTGAGGTACCCCCCAGCTGTCAGTTCTTCCTCCGCCACCTGTTTTTCTCAGCGCCCTGCCCAGCTGATTCTAGTGCTGGCTTACCCAGTCTAACCCTTCCTGTCTTTAAATCTTAAATCTAACTTCAGCTCCAAAGTCTTTTACAGCCAAGTTGAGGTCACTGCGAGTTGGCTGATGGTCATTCTGTCTGCTTGCACTGAAGGTAAATTCATTTCTTCCAATGCATAGTTGTAAACTGACGGGACTAAGCTACTCATCTTATGCCATCGTATCCACTGTCATAAGCACAGGTAAGTCATGAAGGTGTACACGGCCTGGCCCGAGAACAGATCCTTAACCCTTACTTTTAGTTCTTCCTATAATTATAAAATCCACACAGTGTATTAAAATGTGCACAAGTATGTAGCGGGTCTCCTGCCCACCCAGTACTCCTGTGAACGGAGCCCTTAGCAAACGCCCTAGGTTTCTAGAGGGCAGCGCGCATTTGGTGTGCACCTTAGAGGCGGCAGCAGGCACTAGCGTCAGCCACCCATCCTGGGTTCTCGTGAGCGACAGCACACACTAGTCCTGGCACCACCACCGCTTTAATGAGCTAAATCCTCGTTCACTTGAGAACAGCAGGAAAGTTCTGCCACCACCTTTGTTTGCCGGTTTGGTTGCTGTGGCTCGCACCAGGTCTCAGCAAAGAGGTCCTTTCTCACGTTTATGTATAAACAGGTACCAGTTTTGATTTTATTTCATCATATTAACATACATGACACACCAAAATGAGAAATGCACAATGGAACCATTCAACAGCCTGCCTTACTCCAAAGGCACACTATATTCATATTAAACATTTATACAGCCATTCCACCTAACTTTACAAATGTCCCAAACCATTTTCCAGCATTTCTCACATAGAAGTCTAGTTCTGTGCTGTAGAATCACCGTTCTGTATCACCCTGGCTGACTCCAGGGCTGCACGCTACAGGGAGCCCCTGAGCTCCACAGGCCACCCAGGACTCCCCCCGGGGCTGCCCTTCAGCGTGGTGCTCTTGATTCCAACTGATTATATGACATTAGTGATCAAGGACTGACGGTTGTAGTGTGTGACGTCACAGTTACAGGAAGGAAGGGGACCGTGGCCAAGAGAAACCCTAAATGGCATAAGGCAGACTTTTGTCCAACAGTCTGGTTAGAACCTGCCCCCTAGCCCTCCAGAAACAGCCTTTAACAATGGAGCTACTGGTTTCATTTCTTAAAAATATTTGATAGAGGTGACCAGATTCCGGATGTGAACTGTTACACGTTTGTTGTATACATGACACATCAAAATTACCATGTGAAATCTCGAGAATGCTTGATTACATAAAAGGTGTACATAGAAAAGTCGGATCGTTTAACAGAACTGTCTCAGTATGGTAACCACACGCTCCCCATGCAGCTTACACTCCGCCTTCGTTTCACGCCCACACCATTATTTGCACACAGCCAGTTATGTCTATGAAGCGCATAACCCTCATGATCCAGCCAGTCAGTTCTGAATTATGTCATTCTATGCTGGTTTTAGCAGTCACCATAGGAAACACAAAGTCGCATCCTAGTCAAAGGACTATCCATTTCTCACACATAGAAAAACCTGAGATATGAGTCAGCAACTAGCTACACTTACAGTAAAGAGCAAGGACAACACCTGTCCTACTTCCTCACCCAAAAAGCTTCTGATGAGAATTAAGGCTTCAAAAGAGGACTTTACAATAGTTGATAAAACTGAGCCAGGAAGGTGAAAAACAGATCCGCACTGTCACCTGTGTACTGTTCTAATTACCTCCTGTCCTCAGCTGCCAGCACTGATTCTATGTAGTGATTGTAGGTCAAGGACTGAGAGACCACCTTGTGTCCCTCCATTTGGATACCAAAAGCACGCAGGGGGGTGGTGTTTGAAAACAGCTGGCTGTGACTTTCCACTCTGTTCACAACTGAACAAAATCCAACAGCCTTTTCTTCATCTTCCATCATTCTGAATACTCCTTCTTTCCCAAAACCTTCCTCAGCCCTACTAGCGAATGTGAAAGGCTGAAGGAATTATAAAAATACCACCTTCATCTCGTGCCAAGCGGGGCAAAAGCCATCAAGGAAGTGTTTTCTGCTTCTCGGTAATTTGTACCTTCCTTAATCTCTGTAGTTTTCTCTCTAGGTGGTTTCCTATAAAATTCTGCTTTGTTATACTTTTACAAACTGTATCCACTGCAGTGAAACAGAAATGGAAACCATAAATTTTTGGCTGAGAACTTGAAGGCTCTGCCACTCTGTTACCAACTCAAGTAATATCACATTGGCTTTAAACCAAGTCAATTTCCAATTAAAGGATTAAAAATCCCATTTTAAACAACTCTTTGATTTATAGAGGGAGGCAGACATGGTTAGCCTCCCACCTTTAGCTTAAATCGTGTTGCCAGGTTCCTGGCTAACTTAAATCCTAGGTAGTTGCCCTTCTCTTTCTTAAAGCTGGGGAGAGGGGGAAAATACAAACTCGGTTGAGGCCTGACTGGAATTTTGTGCACGTTTGAACTGGTTGGAAAACTGACTCGCTACCTCCCTATGCACAATGCCTAGAAAACGGGCTCCCAGACATGGTAGTGGTGAAAGCCCCAACTGTCCTGTCTGAGGTACTAGGTTTGCTCTGAAGTAGATCCGGGCAAGGCCCCCAATGGTCTGTCCAGCAGAATGCTGTTCGTGTCACTCGGCTGGCGGCTGAGCTTGGCTCGTCCGTCAGCTTTGGACAGGACCGTTTCTCTTGAATGTACCATCAGGCTCAGTCCCTAAGAGGATGCGCTTGACCCACAGCTGGCTCAGTCTCAGCACTAAGGTGCACTATGGAAGGGACCGGACAGAGGCCAGTGAGCATCTGAGATCTCTGCAGCATGACGTGACAAAGGTAGAGGGTTTTTGTCCTCTAAAACCAAATAAGCTTGTTTTTGTAGGAATGTGCAGTTCACTAAATAGAACTGTTTCCTCTGGTTAGGGGGAATTCTAGCATTTGCCCTTCCACTTTTGTTGAAATACTAGCTGACCTCTCACATGCGGATGTGGAGAGAGAACAACTGTGTTGATCCATCTTTTGCCTTTACACCACAGCTCCATTTTCCAAAAATATATATGTAGATACACATACATATTTCAGATTTACAGGGAACATTTTTTGTGAACAAGAAACACCGTCAATAGCAATCACAAGCGCCCCCTCACGAGACCTCAATGATTTCCATGCTGCCTGAAAAGCTAGACTGGCTCCCCACCTTGCCCAGCTCTTCCCGGGACCTGTTCTCCGACATGATGCTCTCGCCAAACTCCATCTGGCAGCTCCTGCGCTTAAACTGCTTTTCAAAGGGACTCTCTTCATGCCAGCTCCGCCGAGAGTCAGCCCTGTCACCTGGCTTCTGCCGCCTGCGCACCGAATAGACTTGGTCGCTACACGTGGGCAGCTGGCTGCAGCTGTAGGCAGAGTAGCTGGCACTGCCTCCGTAGATGGCTGAAGCGGAGTAGAAGTGAGAGCACTCCGTGGCAAAATACCAGCTGTTGGTCAGGGAGGGGGTCGAGGTCTGAGGAGACAAGCTGTCTGAGTGCCAGCCCTTGAGGCCCAGCCCCGCAGCAGACTTGGTGAGGTGCTGCTGGCTGGTGGAAAGGCCGAAGAGGAAGTTGGTGTGGTAGTTGTCCTCCATGCTCCCACTTCGCTGCAGTGGAGCTAAGAAGGACCTCTGGGGGGCGCCGCTGCTGCTGGTTCTTACTGTGTGCAGTCGCTTGCTCTGGCCCTCCGGAGGCCTGGCAGGCTGGGCCTTTATGTGGGCTTCCTCCTTATCTGGGGTGGTTTCTGGAGTCTGCTCTGACACTTCCTGAACTGGGGAGAACTGGCAGAGCTTGTTGGTCCCATCCAGGGCAGCGGACGGTTTGTAGTATTCCAGAGCATCTTCTGACGAGAAGCCGTGTAAGGATGCTGCCATGCTGGCCGAATATGAAACCGATTTAATATCCAGAGAGAAGGAACGTTTGAGCTTATTGCTGTCTTCCAGCTTGTCTGAGGACAGGTGGAGCCCGTTGAGCGCCTGTGCCAGCGGGTTGCCCTCCAACAGTGGTGGCTGCACGCTGGGCACGCTGGCAGGATGCAGAGGCCTTTGCCCTACTGCCTCCGAGGTAGCAGAGTTGGCACAGCGTGGATTGAGGGACATCTCGCTCTTCTGTCCACCCTCCGACACTGCAGGGACAGGGTCGTTTGACTTTTCCAGGTGTAGCAGCTTGAGTTTGCTCTTTGGCCCTGTCGCTCCAGTCTGGTTCTTGATCTTCTTCTCATAGTCCAGAAGCTGGCCCAGAAAATTGAAGTTTGGAGATATAGTAGGTCTCTTTTCTTTCACAAACCTGTGAAGAGAGGAAAGAGCAAAAACTAATTTTACCACTGTACTTTATCTTAAGAATATTAAGTGAGTAAATGGAGCATGACTAGTGTAAAAGCTCAGGGAGGCCGCGAACGCTGGAGATGCCAGGAGCTCCGTCACGTCCCGGGCACATCCTAGAGGGAAGAGCCAGGGCCCCGAGTCTAGGATTGGCCTCCTGATTCTCAAGGACCTCCGGTTCCCAGCGCAAGTGAGAAGAGGATCGCTGTGCACCACCAAGGACACATGGCCACGTGACGGGGCTACTGTCCGAAGTACCACAGTCACTCACCAGCTTCCGCTTTCTAATATCCCCCTTTGATGTCTCTACTCACTTTGACATTCCACATTTTATACTGACAAAAAAGATGGTATCGGATGGTCAAAGTATCAAAGCACCTGATTCTGACTTCCTTTCTCTGTACTCAACATGACAGCGGAAGCAGCTACGCAGTACCTGTGGACGCCGAGCACCGCACTAACGCTCTGAGTTAGTGGTTCAGTCCCCAGACCTACCCCGTCTCCTGGTTGTTTTCTCATGTAAGTACAAAGTCCCTAGGTGGACCTGTCCAAAATCACAGAGCTGGTACATGATGCTGCTGGGTTTCAAAGCCCAGTCTGTCCAAGTGTGGGTCTAATTTTGTAATTACTATGTTAAAAAATGATTCATCAAGAGATCAAAACCAGTAATGGATTTTAACAAACAAACATTTGTCTAATACAGGTATTAGATTCTTCAGTGGTGCCTGAAGCTCATGGATGTTTTGTCAGATGGCACTAGAGTTAAACTACACTGAAATCGGCATTTGAACAGGGAATACAAAGAACTAAAAATAAATTCCAAGTAACCTGCATCAAATGAACAAGGCCAAAAATAACCAGTTCAGCTGTACCAAGTACAAACGTACGGGTGCCATGAAACAACGCCCTCATGCGCCGTGAGGGTGAGAGCGCCTCTTCCGCCTCTGCAAGAGCAGGCGGCATTGAGGGCAGAGCCGCAGTGAGGGAGTCAGCACAGGTACAGCAGCCACCCACCCTCCTGGTCCTTCTTCTCATAAGCTGGAGGGGAAGCTAACTTCTTTTTCCCATATGACAATTCAAGAAGTCCAACTGCTAACACAGGCCGGCTCCATGCAGTTTACTGCATGAAAACTGGCCATCCCTCCTCAGCAAGGGAGGCCGCCTTAGCCTCGGTCACCAAGCAAACTCTGGGCCCCAGCAGCACGGCCACCTGTCTGCTTTCCCTTTTGAGAAACCTGGTCAAAGTCACACATTGCAAAATCTGGCCAACTGCAGAATGCAGGAAATTTCACTCAGTGAAAGAGTTTGATGGCTAATTTTATACTTGCATGTATTTGGCTTTTTCCTCACAGAAATACGAAGTCTGAGCAGAGGAGATTCATAATAAACATTCGACTGGAGCTTTTCCCTCTCATACATAAATTAGAACTATCAGTACTACTCCAAGCTTGCTCACTCACTAGGAGGGAAATCTCTGCCTAGAACTTAAAAAGCAAGTTAAGCTGAGGATGAGTGTGACACATTAGGGCAAAATGAATGCTAAATATTAAACGTGCACTCTTTTCCAGCCCTGGCAGGACCATTTAATCCAACACCCACGGTAACCTGTGAAGAGAGTGATTAAAGTAATCGTGATCTGCTTTAATCTGGTTGCTGAACCAAGCCACTTCGTATTTCAGGACAAGTGAAAAGCCAGTCACACAGCCGTGTTTCCGTCCTCACCTGTAAGCCTCATCTAAAGACATGTCCATCCTCTTCATGATGTAGGCGATGGCAATGGTGGCAGAGCGGGAGATCCCCGCTAAACAGTGCACCAGGACACATCCATTGGAGGCTTTTGCTTTCTCTGTAAGAGCGAAAGTCAAGAAAGGGCACTGGTAAAAACTGTGTTCAGCAATGAAATCTTGTTTGCATTTACGCCGTGTCTTCACCCTTGCAGCACAGTTTCTTTCTCTGCTCCTCTGAGGAGGGCGGGAAGGCATTTCCTCCCCACTGGTATGCACGGACAGTAAGGTCTAAACATGTCAATAAGTGACATTACTAACTCAGGCTGGCTGACTCTTATTTCAGTATTTATATTTTTTACATCATTCTAATAAATGCATGGGGTATAAATTCTACATGACATGGTTCTGTTTGTTTAGTGTAGAAAATTTCTTAAATACAGAAACGTGTACAGTATAAAGGAAATAAGACCATCCAAAGGTGTACACCTAGGACACGGCTAACATTGTTTCCTCACGTCGTCTGACACTTTGATTTTTCCCCCACTTTAAAAATCTGTTTTCATTTCAAACATATGTGACATATACTGCTGTTTAGGAAGGAAGGAGACTGACTGAATTCACAAATGACATCACAGCATAACACGAAAGACACCAGACTTTTTTTGCTCCCAAGCCTGAGGATTGAACCCAGGGCCTCAAGCATGAGTGTACCACTGAGCCACACACCCCAGCCAAAGTTACTTTACAGGGCTGTGTTCATATGAATGGCTTGTCTGTTTGTTTTTAGGAAACTTTCCTATATGTCATAAAATGGCTCAACTTGCTGAATTTAAGAAAAAAAAAAATGTATATACTAGCAACCAGGGTTACTAAGTCACTCTAATTAGTACTAAGAGAACCTTTAATGCTCCTTGACACTCAGAAGTTACGCTCCGAACTCACTGTAACATGGTAGAGTCAAGGATGCTTTGTTAGGACCAAAGAACCAGGGCGATTCCACGGGCACTGCCATCCCGCACTTCCTGTGGGCGCAGACGAAGCTGCTCTGAACAGACCGGAAGCACCAACACTCTGGGCAGTGCTTGGCATCTCCATTCTCAGGTATGTGTGTGCTTAGCCATAAAGCTGCTGCCACGCAGCTACCACTTCTCTCCTCCATATTCTTTCCTTCTTTCTCTTGTTTTCTTTTTTTAGTACTGAACCCAAGGCCTTTGCACTTAGCTATGTCCCCAGTCCTTTATTTTTATTTTCAGACAGGGTCTGGCTAAGTTGTCCAGGCTGGACTTGAATTTGCAATCCTCCTGCCTCAGCCTCCCAGAGTGCTGGAATTACAGGCTCATTCTTCCTTTCTTATTTTTGTTTTAACTGGTACTACTAAGAGTTTATCAAAACTTACATTAAAATAAACAATCAAGCAAGGAATCTGTGCTTTTGTAGCTGAATAATACAAGGCTACTCCAGTCTCACAGCCTGTGTTATACAGTACAAACTTCTAGTGTATATAATGTACAGTGGTGACTCCATTCATGAAATGGATTCTGTCCATGATTCTGGCTGCAAACTGAGTTGGACAAGAATAGAATCAAATTCAATGGTTAGGTTCAATGTTGACCTTATGGGGACATGTGATTCAGTTCTTGTCCAGTTTTGTGTGCGACCAAAATCAGGGAGAAATTTGAGTTCGTGAACCAAGGTACCAGTGTACTCATTTACTTTGTATAAAACCACCTGCCAGTTTTGAAGAGTACATGAATATACTTCCCTTCTAGATAGGAAAACTAAACACAGTGGAGCAACATGGAAGAATACTATGCAACACTGAAAGACGACAGCACTGCACAAAAGAACAGCACATAAACGGTGTACAGCAAGCTCCTGCCTGCACAGCTCTCCTCTAGCTAGACAGCACCAGGCCCATGCTACTCACTACCCGCTCCGCATTAGCTGTTAAGACTCTCAGAGCCAAGGTTTTCACTTAATCCCATTAAGAGACAGCAATTCGGATTTTCTGCAGAGTTACTGTATCTTTCCTAGTCCCATCCTACTTGGCTCTGGCCCTTTAATCCCATCTTAATGTATGTGAATATGTGTATCTTCTGGTCCCAAACCCTTACTGTAAACTGTGTACTTCAAAAACTTATTAAAAGTAAGTCTGTTTTAAATTTTCCCCCCTAAATGTTGACCACCATCTCATTATGTTAAATAAGTACCTCAAAAATTGGACCATGAGGGCCTAGAATGGTCCTTCCTGTTCTAACATTCCTCCGAAGGGTCTAGTGCAAGGCTCACGGTGTGCACACAGGTCACCCCAGCTGATATGTACTATAAAAAGCAATCTTTATGGAAAACACGAAGAAGGTTGGAAGGAAGTAAAACGACAGTATCGTGTTATGATGTCAAGGTTATGGGTTTCTGGTTTTCTAATTTTGTGCACTGCGCTTACGTTGTTTTTGCAACCACAACTGTTTTGATAATGCACTGTTGAGAATCGAAAAGCACTTCTACTGGAGCGGGGTCCTTGGTGCACCGGTTCTGGCATATGCGAGTGCTTGGCTGAGTCCACCTGGCTGAGAGGTGGAAACATGACGAGAAAGCCCTGCGGTGGGAAGGGATGCAGTGCGCAGGGCAGCCTGGCATGGCTGCCACTCACGAGCTGTGTGGGACACAAGTAGAGAGAAGGCTCCAGAGGCGGGACCGCTGGTGGAGGGGCTCTTGGGAATACTAGGCTAAGGATACATTTATATGTAGGAAATCAAGGAGCCTCTGCAGGTTCCAAACAGCAAGGAAGCAGTGATGGTGTAACCAGAAACAGCAGGGTGATGCTAGAGAAATTCAAGAGGGAAAAGGACCACAAAAGACCAAGAACCTAGTGAAAATTAAAGTTCCAGAGCTAAAAAGGCAGTAATAACTGACATTACAGGCTACTCATATGACAACCTTAAAAATATTTAGTGGCCAGGCACGGTGCTAGTGCCCATGGTCCCAACTACACCCAAGCATTGCTTGAGCTCAGGAGTTTGACGCCAGCCTGGGCAACATAGTGAGACCCCCCACCATCTTAAAAAAGATAAAAATAGTAAGAGCCAACTATAAGCCAACTTCTTTGCAAGGTGTTCAATACACATACATTATCTACTTTAGCACCTGGTATGGTACAGCCCTATAAGGCAGGGGTATTATCTTCAGGTTTCCAGTTCAGGAAACAGGGACACAGAAGTTTGAAGTACCCTTGCCCCAAACCACTTAGCTAACAGCCAGGGATACAGGGCTCAAGTACAGTTTGGCTCCAAAGTCCATGATCTCAATGACCTCCCTACGCCGCCTAGCACAAGCGGTGAGTCTGGTGTGGGGGAGGCGGGCAGGAGCCAAGGTACTGAGGAAGTTAGCAAGGCTTGTAGAAGCAGCCAGGGGAGCAAGGGGCACTCCATGAGGACCCCACAACACAACAGGTCAGCAGTGACTGCTGCTTGTTAACTAAAGACAGAAGGGGCTGGGGATTTAGCTCAGCGGCACAGGGCCTGCCTGGCAAGCACAAGGTCGTGAGTTCGATTCCCGGTACCAAAAAAAAAAAAAAACCAAAAATTAATAATAATAGTAAGAGAGAAAACTCCACCACAAGCTGAGCCCGTCGGCTGAACCCAGAGACTTACTGAAATTTAGATAACAGAAAGGAAAAAAATCTCTAAGCCTTCAATTGTTGAGTCCAGGTGTGGTGTGCATCTTCTTATCACACACACTGCCACGACTACCACGGCTGAAAGCACCACGCAGAGACAACTAGCAACTGCGGGGAATACGGCAACGTGAGTGTTGCTTTGTGTTATGACTGGAACACAACGGTGGCTGTAGCAAATAGGACCAAGCAAATTAAATGCAGATAAACTGCCACAACAGGATCACATTCTCTTTCTTCTAGATAGATTTTCAAGTTGTACTTTTAGCTGAAACTAGAGCCAGATGTCTCTGGATCAATATGACAAGCAATGAGAACATTAACCATAACCGTTGCTCTTTTAAAGAGGCAAAAATCGAGTGCTATGGTGAATATATTTCCTGGAAATACAACAGGAAGCGTTCACATTGGAAATTCTCTTTGCAACAGTTCACTTTAAAACAGTCGTAGCTGTTTATCTTCAAATGTTTCATAGAATGAGTTCTTGACAATAAAAGCCCTTAGCAATCTTGAAGAGAACTGTTTCAGAATTACTTAGCACTCTGAAGGCATTGCCTAGAAATTCCTCTCAAATAAAATATATAGCAGGGGCTTAATTATAGCTTTACTTTTTTAAAGGAACCGGTCCTTTTATTTTTAATTACAGTAACCACTTCCGTATTCAAGAATGAAGTAGAGTGCTCAAACTTATACGGCTGGGGAGGGGGACAATTCCTCCCACGGCCAATGACAGTCAACACCTTGTCACGCTGTTCAAGAGGGAGCTGTTTCTGCCTGTGCTCAGCCGCACTCCAGTGAAACCACCTCAAATGCACAGCGCCAGTTTCCTACCAGGAGATCTGACCCTGTGGCACCAAAGGGTCATGACAGCACCCAGAGGCAAGAACTCCTGAGCAGGCCCCGGAGAACAAAGGAAGGGACAGGTTAACTGTCACTGTCGTGGACACCGTCAAAGGGATGACCTGTGTGTATGTGCCTGTGCGTGTCTGTGTTGGAATTTTATTAGACCCAAAAGAAAACTAACATGAACTGTGTGATAAGAAGATGCACACCACACCTGGACTCTTTTTTATGACCGCATGTCATAAAAAAGACTTTAAATGTAACGGGATTAGGTTTTTTCACAGAATTGTCTCTTCTCTGGGAAAGAGGTGGCGGCAAGGCAACAGGAGCTCTCACAAACGTTCCCTGAGCACCCTATGGAACTTGAAGGAGAAAGGTGGAGTTTAACTCCAGAAGCCGCATTGATTTTCAGACACAACACACATTCACAGACCTGTGAGGCTTAACTACGCTACCCTTTACAGACAGCAGGTCACAAGGGCAGTCCCTCAGGGCTAGCATGGCACACACGTCACCTTGACCACCACATGAATAAGGGCACGTATTGTTTTCAGAGTTCTGACATTTCTGAAGTAGGGTTCTCTCCTCTAAAGACAAAAGAGGGAGGGAGAGGCCACGCCTACGCATGACGCTGTAACCAAAGACCTGGAATGTTACTTGAGCTACCTACCAATGAAATCCACCGATTTGTCCAACCACGGCAAAATTTTCTCACAAAAGCTATCATTCACAGGCACTCGCAGGAAATGAGACTCAGGGATGAAGTCAGGCTTCGGACAGGTACTGCTGGCGTTTAACACATAACCAATGCCATTCTGCTGCATCAGCTCCTATGGAAGGAAAAAGCAATTAAGTGACTAGTAATATATCCACGTCACCATTTTGAAAGATTCAAGTTAATGTTATAAAAACTACTAGTTTCCTTAAAATAATCATTCACATCAGAGAAACTCCAAAACTCAGCAAAATGGCATTTAGTCTTAAATTGAGAGAAAAATAAAAGGCTGTTGAACAGTATGCCTGAAGGTCACATAACTTTAACACAGGCAACACCATTATCTCCATTGCTAGAGAGAGAACAATCTACAACATGAAATGATGTATGACTTCAGAGTATGAGCACGCACAAGGACACCAGCCCACACTAAGCCTGCTGGCTGTTCTCTAAGATACAGTTCCAGGCATTCTTCTTGCTCAGTATTCTTTTTGAAGATAGCATCTATTTCCACAGCTTTAATTGTCTGCTCCACATGCCACTGGGTATGTGTTTTGTGTGTAAGAGTTTTCATCTCCTCGTAAATTTCCAGCTACCTACTGGATATCAGGGTATCCCACAGGTCCTTCAAATTCAAAATGCCAAAAATTAATTACATTCTCTCTCTCCCTTCTCGGTCCCAAGCTCCAGTTTCTTCTCTGTAATCCCCAAACTGGCTTCTGGTAACAGCCTCACCCAACCAGCTGAGCTAGAACATGAATCACCTGGCTGCTGTCTTCCTCTTAACTTCCAACCAAACAGCTGCAGACCCTTCTGGTATTTGCCGTTTCTTCCAGCGGCCCCTTCTCTAGCTTTCATTTACCGATCAGTGATCAGTCCCCACCTTGAAGTTTCCAGTGTTTTTCTCTTCGAACCATGTTCTTAACAACTAGAGTAACCCTCCTCCTACTCCCCTAGCCCCCCTTTTTTCAGTGCTGGGGATGGAACCCAGGGCCTTCACTTGAGTTACATCCATGGCCCTTCTCCCCTTTGAAAAAATTTATTATTTTGAGACAGTGTCTTGCTAACTCACTGTGTTGCATTGCAGGGTTAGAACTTGTGATCCTCCTGCCTCACCCTCCTAGAGTGCTAGGATTATAGGCATCTGCCCCATACCCCGCCCATGTTGTATTTCTTTTTTCTACCAACAGTACTACAGGTTCATTAAATGAAAGGGGAAGCTGGGCGTGATGGCCTGCGGGTAAGCCCCGGTGTTAGGAACGCTGAGGAAGGAGCACAGCAGGTTTGACGCCAATCTGTACAACTTAGCAAGACAATGCCTCAAAATACAAATTAAAAGGGCTGAGGATGTATCTCACTGGTAGAGCGGTCAGCATATACAAAGGCCCTGGGTTGGATTCCCCAGCACAGCAAGAAAAAAAAATTTAAAATATCCCATTCCGTCCAGTTCAGAAAGGAGGATGTGACAGGAGTTTCTGAGAAGCAGGAGTGAGTGACAGCCGCAGTGATATCTCCTACACACAATCCAGAGGAAATGGGCAGCTCTAAGTATGAAACATGTCAATAAAAACTATCACATTTGATTTCCACAGAAAGACTAACTATACACTTCAGACACCCAGCTAGTGACCTGTATTTTGTGGAAATGACAACCTGTTGTCAGTGAAAATGACACCTTTGTTAGAGCCCGTTAGTGTTACACTGCGGGCCGTAGTAAGAAAACGACACCCAATGTGAAGATGCGCATGTGCAGCGGGCCTCACAGAAACAGAATTCCCACACCCACTCTCTGATGCACTGTCATCATCATTCTCGTCTTCCAAGTCAAGAAACTGAGGCTTAGCAGGTGCATGATGTCTCCAGCCTTGGGAGCTAGCAGGCGGAACCAGCAAGGTCAAACCCAAGCGTGTTCTTTGCCAAGATCTCCCTTCTGCATCACCATGTCTTCCAGAGTGTCCTCCAAAGCAAATTAGATGGAACAATGAAGTACTAGCATACACATACAGTTTTGTCACTAAACGAAGTATTAGACTACAAAGTTCTACTTTCATTCTGGTTTGCCTTTTTAAACTAACAAATCAGAAGGCAGAGAGGCAGTATTCTGGTCACAGACTTTTTGAGAAGGCTTGGGAGTGACTCGGGACAGAAGATGGTTATTGGAGAAGAGTTATCTGGGTTGTGCATTTTGCCCTTTTCCCTCTCATCTCCTCAGTTGCAATCCCGGATGTTACCACGCTGGTTTTTCCGCCACCTGTACAGGTGCATCTTCTGCAGGACGGGCCCCGCTGCGCACAAGCATGCATTCCTCACGCCGCTGCTGCCACAGGCAAATCACACTGGCACTGCCATGGTCAGTCTGGCCAGGAGACATGAGACAGCAGCAGCTCTGACCAGAGGTAAGAAACCTCAGTACGCCATGTGTGTGACACAGGCCTGTAATCCCACCACTCTGGGAGGCTGAGGCAGGAGGACTGCCAGTTTGAGCCAACCTTGGGTAGACTTAGCAAGACCCTGTCTCAAGATAAAAGAGCCAGGGACTTAGCTCAGTGTAAAGACTCTGGGTTCAATCCCCAATACTATGAAAAAACAAAGAAACATCAATAAGAACAGCTTACAAGGTTGCTTATATCACATAGTGTTCTTCACTTATATAAGTGTGCCTCAAAAGATGCATTTAATAATTGCTTTATTTCACATAACTGACAAAAGGCGGAAAAAAAGATAGTCATGTGTTTGAATGCTATTATCTGTAAAACAAAATACTTAAAGCACAAAAATGAGATGAGAAATGAGTAATTCCAATAGTAAATATAATTTTATTAATAAAAAATTAGCTCTCAAGATTTGTTTATGAGATCTATTACGTAGTTGCTACCCGAAAGGTCTTTTTTTTTTTTTTTTTTGGATTAATATGAGACTTGATAAATAAAATAAGGCCAATTTTTAAAACAAAACACTAATATTACATGCAAAATTAAAATATAATTTAGCTACTAAATTCCATAAATAAGTGCTTTCTCTTACAGACTGGCAATTCCTACATCAGTGGAAAAAGTCAGTGAAATGATGAAGACATTAAAAATGATATATAGGTACTTGAAACATTATTTTAACCTAAAACAAATGCACACTCATTCACTAGTTTCTGACGCAGGACTTTGGACTATTTTTTCTCTGGGTTAGCTGACAGGAGCTCTTAGGCAAATCTCCAAGTGCAGCTATTACTTATAGTTTCCACCCATTTATGAAGAACAAGGACTTGTGAAACTATCAGTACAGCAGCCTGTAAGATAATGACTGCTTACTAAGTATTCTACAGTTGCTTATGTAATTTGACAAGGAAAAAAAAGAGAACTTTTCCTTGAACCTTTCCAAAACATTTAATGAGGTCATACAGAAACAACTGTTTTTCCTCACCTACATTTCATTAGTACATGTAATACTTTATTAATATACACAACGATGACAACAGATCTACACACAAAGCGGACTCTGGCAAGTACACTGGTCAGACGGTGGTGGCAGGCGTGCTCCAGCCAGCAGCCTACTCCCAGCTTGCTCAGGACATAGGACAGACAGCAGTTAAGGAAGTTTCTGAAGTTTAATATAACTCTTCTACTTACTTGCTGATTAATTTTTGATTTTTTATGGGCGTGCATACACGTGGCTGATAGAGCCGTTTAATGTTTTTAAAGGCAGATGTGAGACAGAACTACAACTCTGAAGAATGAGTATTTTATGGAATTTTTTTATTCACAGATGGATATCATTTCCTTCTTATTAAATTATAGAGTACTTATATAATCACTTGGTTTTGTTTTGGCATGCTGTATAACACATATACAAAACTGAATATTCTGTCCCATAATTAAACAGTATCATCTTTACTAGAAAGCAGTCATCTTCTGCTGTTAAATATTTAGCTCAACGTTACACTAAATGTGCTAACACATGCCTCTGACTGGTGAGAAAATCCTGCTCTGGCTGTCAGATTGCATTCTGCCTCCTTGGGGCTGCAGTTCTGAGTTCGTCACCCTGGCTGCCTGCTCCCATGAAGTCTGGCCTGGTCTCTGTCACTATCAATACCCACAGCCCTTCTGTAACCTCCACGGCATACTCCCACTGTCTCCCTGCGGCTCGAGCTCACTCACACCACTACGCCTGGAAGCCCTCACCTGCACACCTACAGTCTGCCCTGCCCACTTCTGCCTCTCATCGCCACGTCTGTCTGCTCTTGGCCCAGCTCCACCTCTGTGTCAATCACTACAGTCACTCCCTCACTCTGTATCGCAGTTCCTCTGCCCCTGTATCACTTCTTCACTCTCAGCTAGCAGAGTTCCAAACCCAGGGAAAACCAGTTTTCCCCCACATCTGCCTCTGTACCCAGACAGCTGAACATGGCCAGCGGAAGACTCCACAGTGCCGCCTGCTCGCACTTTCTGCTCAGCCATCCCTGTTTCCCTAGTCCATTCACCTTCCCTCTCTGACTCGCCACCCCATCTCCCTTTTCCTTCAGACTCCCTTTGTGTCCCTCCTCATCCTCCCCCTCAGCTGACAGATGATCCTGTTTCCAGCCACACTGGAAAAACTGAAACAGTCCAAAGAAATTCTGGGCAGACTTCCACCTCCACATTTTCTCTTCCACCAGCACATGCGCTATCTACTCTGCCTTCCTGCTGTTACCACGGATGCCTAAGGCCAGCTCCTCTACTGGGGAATAAATCCCATCCCTCTTCCTCAAGGAGACGGCTCTGGCTATTCTCTGCCTCTCTCCTACATCAATGTTCCACTCTCCAGGCTCATTCTCTCTATCAGCAATCAAACCAACCAATATTTCTCCCATCTCCAAGGGATCTCCTCTCCATTTTCTCCTCCAGCCATTGCTCCACATATCTGCTACTCTTAGTAGCAAAATTTCTTGAGAGAGCCACTTACACTGGCTTGCTCTCTCCAATTCCTCTCACCCTGTTACCTCCGGAACCTGTCCCATTCAGGTTCCCCCAGCCCCAGAGCTACCTAAGACCACCTGAGACCTCCACCTTGCTCCCATCACCAGCTCTCAGTTTTCACCGCCCAGTGACCCACAGCACATATGGTGCATCTGATTCCTCTGTCTTCTAGAAAGCACTTTGTTTACTGGACTTCTACAAGATCTTGATTTCCTTTCTTCTTCAGTATTTACTTTTTTCTTTTTTTTTTTTTTGGTTTTTTCCAGTACAGGGAATTTAAACTCAGGACCTTGCGCTTGCAAGGCAGGCGCTGTGCCACTGAGCGAAATCCCCAGCCCCTTCAGCATTTACTTCTAAAGACCCTTTGCTGGATCCTTCTCAACTCCCCAGATTTTAAGGCTGGAGTGCCCCATGGCTCAGCCCTTTTCTACGATTATATTTTCTGTCTTAATAATCTTATCTATTCTGTGTCTGTATGTGAATGACCCCCACATTTATACATCGTCCTGCAGGGAAATGGTCTTGAATTCCTACACCCATCTGCCTGTTCGACGTGTCCACCGGGAAGTGTGACAGGCATTTCAAGCTCAGCATGTGCCAATCAACTGTCCTGTTCTTCCCACAGGCTTCTCTATGGCAACTGCATCTCCCAGTTTGACACCTGCCTTTTTCATGCCATAATTAGCTGTATGTTCAAAAAGTAACCAGAATCCTACCACTTCTCACCACTGCTACCACGCTGATTCCATCCCACTACCATGTAGCCTCCTTCTTCCGTGGGATGCAGCTTCCCTTCCACACAGAAGCAAGTCAAACCACATTACTCTTCTGCCCAGAACCTTCTGGGGACCCCGTTTCTCTCAGACTAAAAGCTAACATCTTTTTGTTTTTGAGGTGCTGGGGAATTTCAGGCTGGCACTTGCAATCATCCTGCCTCAGCTTCTTGAGTAGCTGGGATACAGGTGTGCGCTACCATGCTGCCAAAGGCTAACATTCTTCTCCTGGCTGTGTTGGGGATTGAACCCAGGGCCTCACAGATACCAAACAAGTGCTCTGCCACTGAGCTACAGCCCTAGCTGCACAAGCGAACACCTTTACAAAGCCCACAAGGTCCTGTAGTCTTGATCTCCTCCCTCCATGTTCCCACCACACTCCAGCCTCCTTCTGCCCCAGCCACCCAGGCGGCCTTGCCATGCCCTTGTCGCATGGATAACACTGGTCTTCTGCGCCGCTCCTCGTCCAGATTTCCACATGGCTCGGGCTCTGGCCTCTTCCAAGTGTTGGTTCAATGCCTCTGCTCACCGGGCTTTCCCTTACCATCCCTTCTATCTCAGCCCATGACCGCAGGCACTCCCTGCCTCTTGCTCTATTTTCCTCATTCCACTTGTCCCCAAAATACGCAGGTGATGGATAATAAACTACACTGTAGCGCTTCCCTGCTTATTATGGTGACTGTCGAGTTTCTTCTCCCCTAGGTGATCAGCTATGAGAACAGGTGCTTCTGTCCCATTTATTACCTCCAGAGCCCAAAGCACTGTCTGGCACACAGCAGAGGCCTAGTGAGTATTTGGTGAATGAACCACTGTCCTTTAAATGATTAACATCAGGATCTAGGAACTAGTTTGCTATGTCTTCTGATAAAGAATCTTTGTTCCTTACACATTTTCATTTTATAATAGTCAAATGTCATTCATTTGTATCCCATTCATTTCATAATTTGTTTTTTTTTTCTGGTACCGGGAATCGAACTCACGACCTTGCGCTTGCCAGGCAGGCGCTGTGCCGCTGAGCTACATCCCCAGTCCTGCATTTTGTAATTTGTGAAAGACTATTTTACCTGGGTTTCTCAAATTTATTAAGGGGTTTTCTGAGAAAACAGCATGAGGACAGCTTTCAGGAGGCATGTTCACTTAAATTTTAAACACATGCTAAAATGTTATAATTTTCCCTAATGGTACATTGCATTCTATTGTAGCACACGCCTCTAATCCTAGCAGTCAGAAGGCTGAGGCCAGCCTGGGCTGCATAAGCGAGTTCAAGGCCAGCCTGCACTACACAGCAAGACCCTGTCTCAAAAAAAAAAAAGTGTAATAGCTTGGTGTAAAACCAAAGGGAAAGATTCTGAAAGAAGACCACAGTGAGAACTAAAACCACCCTTCAATATAAACTCCAACTCGGCACTCTCAAGGCTGCCCAGCCTACCAGTGTCACTTCTCGCCCCCTCCTCGTCTACACTTCTCGCCCTCTCCTCTGCAAGCTTCTTGACAGTGCTGTTAGGACCCTTTGGCCCAGCTGCTGGCCCCTGAGTGTCCATAAGCCTGTTTCCCCCACAAATACTGTATGTACCCTGCCGGCTGTGTGTTTGGAAGGCAGAAAGGAGAACGCTAAATAGGAAACCACCCCTTCCCTGTTCTCAAGTCCAGGTCGTGGTTTAACTCCTCTCACCTTATAGGCATTCAACAAAGTTGTAAACTGACTTATATTTCTTAAATTTGAAAAAAAGTATAGAGCAAAACAAATGTGCCATTTAGTTTAATGTCAAAAATAACAAAAGTCATCCTGTGGAATTACCTGCTAACTAACTGGTTAAGGATTACCAGCTTAAACAGGATCCTTAACTAGAAATTTTATTTTCTTATTTGGAGACTAAATAAACAATCACTGGCTTTGCCTCAAGAATGCATGTGGCTTTAGGAAATTAACTTTGCTTTCTGTAGCAAAGTTGCTTATCTCTAAAAGAAAACGAATAATAACCACAAGCTAAAGGCATTGAGACCCCACCAGAGAGGCTCCATGCAAGCATAAGCTATCCAGTCTCAAGCAGGCAGGTCTCACAGTAAGAACGAGCATAAATAATGATGCCTCATTGCTGCGCAAACAGGTATTTTTTTTTCCTTCTGGGAAAGCTCACTAGAGAGGGCTACAGCCCAACTGCTCTAGTCACTGAGGGAAAAAATGTCAAGAGCTGCTACAGCCCTTCACAAGGGAAAGTAGCATTTGTAAATTACCTGTAGCTGCATTAAGATCTCCATGGCCTTTTCAATTTGTGGTGACATAAATTAAGAAGTTTTAAAGAAAAATCTCTTTTCCAGGCAGTAAGAGCACTGTTTTACAGCATTACTGGCTAAAGTTAAAAGCACATAAACTGTGCCGTCAGATTATAGTCCCATTACTATAACATACCATTATATACTGGGTTCCCAATCTAATACATGCTCCTCTACTAGCACACGCCCGCCTGCTCAGTGAGGTCAATGCCCTCAGCAAGCATCCACGCGCTTTGCTCTTTTTACTCAACCAAGCTCTCCCAACAAGGACATAACGGGGCTGGCAGTACCTACTTTCAAGCCTTTGTCTTCAACAGCACCTACCACTCTCACCGTATTTTACCACCTTCCCGCCCCTCCAGCCCAGAGGTCTTCATGGGAGCCTTCTTTGATGTAAGCCCAATCTGAGTCCCCTTCCACTGCGCTGCAATAAATAAATACATCTCTAAATGTGAGGGTATTAGCCTGCTGCACGCACCCAATTACTGTAATAAACCAACAGGCTAATAGGCTAAGCAATAGCCTAATAAGGCTAAAAAGCCTGTCCTATTTCAGGTCTCTTGAACCTACGAGAAAAACAAGCAAATACGACCATAGTTTGGATTTCCTGTGGCAATAAATAACATCAAACAAAATAACACTCCAAAAGATGATGTAACCATTAGCTGGGGAGTCACACTGAGAGCAGTGCACTTCCTTTCCGGGACTGCAGTGTGTTTCAGATGACAGCTAATGGGCAATTGCTGTTTTTCCAGCTGCTACCAATAAACCCAGCAGTGAAGGATATTTTCAAAGCACCCACCTTGTTGAGGACATCTCGCTGGCAGCCAAGATAAAGATTGGGAAGAATTCGGGTTGGCCCAGTGTTGGCAACAGGTAAGCAAGGCTGAGAAATGCAGGTAGGGACTAGAGTAGATTTTCCTTCACAGAGGCCAGGGAAACAACGAGAGAACTCGGCAAACCCACCTGAGGATAAACATTATAAGATTATGCCAGGCACAAAGTAAAAATCAGCCCTCCTGAAACGAAGCTGTTTCAAACAGCAAAATCAAATCTCACAGGTCCGAGTGAATGCCGCTGTGCACAACCTCCTCTCTGCAGCTGCCAGTGCTGGACCTGATGTATTACCCAGCACTGAGCCGGGCACATGAGGAGACAGTGTGGATGTGCACGTCTGGAGGCCCTCGGAAGTCACCCTTCGACTTCTCCAATCGTCCCTTTGTCCTCACGGGCCCTGTGACACTTGCTCCCCACTTCCCATCCTCATGCAAACTTCTTTTTGGGGAACACACAGAGGATAAGTCCATGGCAAGTAGCTGGGCCGATATTCACAGAAATAAATCGGGGATATTTAAGAAAAGTGAACTTCTTCCTACTTCCGATGTATTGCTCTTCTATTTTGCAGGTTCTACCTCTGTCTGTCTGCCCCCCAACTCTCTCTCTATATAGATATATATATATATATGGTTTCTCATATAGGGGAAACCATGTGATACTTGAATTTGTGTGTCTGACTTATTTCACTTAACATTATGTTCTCAAGTTGCATCCATTTACGTACCAATGCCTCAAGGTTATTTATTTATGGCAGCATAGTACTCCACCATGTATAAATGCCACAAATTACATAGTCTATTGTTTTAAAAACATTTCAATATATATGCAAGTGTGTTTCATTTGTATTACTAGTTTTAGTTCACTGAAAAGTGTTTTGTTATTGTCTGGGCTTTTTGGTAAGAATCTTTTTGGTTTATGTCTTATACTCTGAGTAACTACTTTGAAGATAATGATACACAGTGGGATCACTATTGTTATTCTCTTGGTTATGAAATTTTATTTTTTCATAAAATAAAAAATAAAAATAAATAAAAAGTTTTAAAAATGTGAACCAAGACTGAATTACTTCTTCAAAATAAAAATTTTCTAGAATTAACTTTCAATCATCCCACCATACATATCCTTTCACTTCAAAGATATAAAAAACATTCACCTCCACTGTTAGAAATAGTCTGTCAAGTTCTTGGAATCTGTAGGCAATTAAGGTTAGTTAAGGGTCCCAAAATTACCACCGATATCTGAAGATCTGTTCATTTTGCTGAGCACTAGAAAGAAGTGCTGACCAACTCTACACTGCTCCGAGTACATGAAGTTCTTGCGGAAAGACTCCTGGACCCGGAAGAGTTAAGCTTTACTCTAGCCATTACCTTCTAATGATCTGCTCTATGACCCTCATCAAGTCACAGTCTTGCCCCGCCCCACCAGTGGAAGCCATGCAGCCGAAGGAGGCATGCTCATGGCCTCTGGAAAAAGAATGCAGGCAGTCTTTACCTGGGGTTCCAATCTGAATATTCCTTCTATCCAAATTCAAACCCAGGAACTAAACAAATTATGACAAATTTTCACACACATCCCTTGCTATCCATATGCTCACTGTTTAATAAGCCTGAACTCAGGAGCCAAGAAGATTTGACCAAGAATACTTATAATTTATAATAGCATTAATTTATACTATTCAATATAGGAAGTTGAAAACCACCGTTAAATCCTATTAGAAGAAAATACCTCTTTTTTAAAATACCTCTTTAATTGAGCCTTAGAGAAGACCCTGAAAATCTCACTGAAGTTGTCTCCATCTCCTAACAGAACTGCCTCTCCTTCGGAAAGTGTCTAAACTATGTGCTCCAGAACTGCTGGAAAGGCTACAAGCTGACAGAAGGAGAAAGCTCTGAGTATCACCCTGTGTTATATTCACCTGGAGCACAGCCCAGTGGACTCCTGGGCCTACTGTCCATGCTCGGTGCAGGGTCCAAGACTTGTGAGCTAAGCTGGCAGGAAGCGGCTGACAACTGTGTCACTTGCAAATGGTTAAAGTATATTCCTGGCCTCTAACTGGCTAATTATCTACAGTTTAAGTTCTTAAACTTACTAAAGTTTTTAAGGTAATGTGATGGACACAGTAGGTTCATTATGGAAATCAGAAATTTCTTTGTGTGCTGGACGAGGCCTTCAGGATCTGTACCTGTACAGTCTCACTTCTTATGATTTCCAAACATGACCTTCAGCCATGCAAAACTCACGGCTACTTCTCACCCAGCAATGCCACCCTGGCCCGCCCGTGCACACACATGTAGAGGCCAGAGCACACACACACAGCCCCACGACCATATGGCAGAGAAACCAAAAGCACATGCTCCTTCATCTCATCCTGACCTCACCACTTCCTGGTTGTCTTATTTAGTCCTTCTGGCTCTTGGTTTCCTCATCTATAAAATGAGGATGTAAGCCGGGCGTGGTGGGGCACGCCTGTAATCCCAACACTCGGAAGGCTAAGGCAGGAGGATTGTTGCGAGTTCGAGACAAGCCTGGGCTACAAAGTGAGCTCAAGGCCAGCCTGAACTGCATAGTGAGACCCTGTCTAAAAAAGACACCTCCCTGCCCCCCCCAAAAAAGAGGATGACCATCATGCTACCTCATACTGTTGTTGAGAGGGTTAGGTGACACACCAAGTGTTCTCTGTGTTGGAACACAGTAAGCGATAGGTGTCAGAGGTTATTATTCCACTGTACTGTTTGTAGGTACAGGTACCAGCGTCTTCTATGAGTCCTTTCCCTGCTCTTTTTTGTTTGTTTTCTGGTACCAGGAATCGAACTCACAACCTTTCGCTTGCCAGGCAGACACTGTGCCGCTGAGCTAAATCTCCAGCCCCCCCGCCCCCCGCTTTCTCTGCTCTTGATCTGCAGCTAATTGTTTAGCTACATCTCTTTAGACACCAAGAAAAAAAGCAATGCTTGTAGTTACCTTCCCCAAAGTGTGCACCACAGCACAGCTGTCCTATGAGAGGGTGATAAAATAGAATATTCATCCAAAAAAGTAAGAGAAACACTGTCTCCTACCTCTCTGTGAGAGTCACAGCACTCAAGGATGTTAAAGGATGTTAAAGGATTTAAAATTATCTTCAAAGAAACTGGTTTATTTAAGCTAAATACACTTTTCCAACCCTATTTTTATTTCTTTTAATATTTTTCTCTTTTTCAGTTTCTCTTCATTATATAATATAGTTGTTATTTAAGGTGTAATTTTTCCCTTTGAGGTAGTTCTAACAGTAAATGGCAAAGATTCTCATCATTCTTTCCTTATATCCACCCAACATAACTGACAGGCACTATTTTGATTATAATTAATTGTACAATTTTAAGTTGTAACTTTCATAAACTTAGGAGATCCTGGTGGTTTGGTAAAGAACTGTCCTCATATGTTTTTCTCTTCTGTCATTTAAATCTAACAAAACAATGTTCCAGTAAATGTTCTCAGGGAAAGAGAAACGAGAGTACCCAAGGAAATTCCACTTGAATTCCATTTTAAATTTATAAATAATCACACTTAAAAATGATGTAAGTAATCATGTAATAGTCACAGAATGTACTGAAAATTTACCATGTGACAAGCATTGCTTTAAATATTACAAGTATTTCCTCAATCTTTACAATTACCCTATGATGTAGGTACCATTTCTCCCTTACAGATAGGAAAACAGAGGCAAAAATCACATTGTGTAATACTTGGCAGAGCTAGAATGCATGTACTTCTCTAACTCCTGTGGAGTTAACCCCAACTCTCCCGTGGATGCAGGGACAGCTTTGCCCATATCTATGGGGGTCTGGCCTATCACTGTGACCTGACAGTTCTCAGTACCAGACTAACAATGGTCATGCCCTCTCCCAAACTGACGGAAGAGTTTGTTTCTCCAAAGGTATATAGTTCAAACATTTCAATGAGAAAAAAGAGCAGGGGATCTGACATGAGCAGAGATATGAGACCCTTGAAATATACTTTGCATGTAACCCAGATCAAAGTTTACATATGAACTAACTGAAATGTAAATATAGTCACTGACTTGTTCATGATTATAGTTTGCAAGTTGGTAACAAAGCTGTATCTCTGCTTTCAAGCACCCTCTAAAGAACAATTTTGAGAGATACAATTCCATTAACAGTCATAAACCCAGCCAGCCTGACTGTTCAAGGTACAGACAGGTCCATCACTAATTAGTACAGAAATCTTAGATCACTAACTTCAATGTGCCTCAAAAGTGAATGTGACTCTAGAAAATTCCATGATAGGCAATAGAAATAAGAAAAAAAAAAATTCAATCTCAGAAAAAAAAAAGCCAAACCAAACAACACTACCTTGTAAAACATGTTATCAACAAAACAAGAACCATCTTGTTTATAAATATTTTCAACTGGGGGCTGGGGATTTAGCTCAGCGGCATAGCGCCTGCCTGGCAAGCACAAGGTCGTGAGTTCGAGTCCCAGTACTGGAAAACAAAACAAAACAAAAAAAAGAAACAAATATTTTCAACTAATATCTAGGACAAAAACAAAGAGCCAAATATTTTAAAATATTTAACAGATTTAAGTAAAATTTCACTCTGGCTTAAAATGTCCCAAACTGTAGGTCCCAGTCACTTCCAAAAAACACTACCTCAGCCGAGAGCACACGTGCCCCAATCTGTATCTGACAGCTTTCCTCCCTGCAGACACCCTCCTTCACTGACGGCTTTCTCCATCACTGACCTTCCATTCACTGTTGTGCTCTAGTGAGTCTAGTTTCGTTTCATTAATTAACAACAGACGAGATGATGCTTGATTTCCTCTGAACTTTTTAAAAACTATCAAAGGCTTCACCACCAAAGCGGGTTTGAAATACAGTACAGTATATCCAAAATATCCGTTTTTCTCTGGTTCTCTTAAAATAAGAGCTCTGGCAGAAGAAAGGTACTCTGTTGCACAGGCTGACGGATTCACAGAGGGAAGCCTCATCGTAACTACCCTCACCTTAACTCCCCACCACCCTCTGCCATCCTAGGGACTCCATGTACGAGTCCATTACAAAAACACATCAGTTATCCTCCTCTGTCTACAGGCAAAGCGGTCTGAAAAAACTGATAACGCTTCTTGAAAAAG